TTCACAAGCAGAAAAAAATAGTTCAATTATTCAAAATGTCATGATCAGTATTCTATTTATACAACTTATATACTTTGATCGACTTGGTGTCGCCTGAAGACAAGTGTGGCATACTACTCAGTAGTTAAAGAAAATACAATAAAGAGGTTAATATGCATTTTTTTTATTCTTTGACCTTGGTGGATAAGTGTGCTCATTTTATTTTTTAGGCATGATTTCTACAAGTTTCTATTTGTATGTATTTCAACTGTACATTGGCTATGAGATTTTCTTGTTCAGTTTAGTTGCACAATGCCAAAGGTAGTCATGGCAAAGCAGTTCCTATGGTTACAGTCAGCATTTCACAACAGAGGTCAAGTGCACCACTGTTTGATTTATTTTGAACACAGGGTGGTTCATAGGAATGTAAATTTAATCAAGATGGTAGCTCACATATCTGATATAATATGCATATGTATAAGATGAGTGCATTGCATGCAATTTGGGGCAAAATGTATTGCATAAATGTTTACTCTTAAGTTCCAAAACTAAATTGAACTGTATTTCAAGACTGCAATACGTTAAGAAGTTCAGACGATGCCAGTTTAGACCAGTTGGGAGCAAGGCTTGCTTGTGGGTCAGAACATTGTAGATTCAAACCTCACAGCAGCATTTGAGCTGATTTTAGACTGACATTTCTGACCACTTCGGAAGGGGTGCTGCATTGTTGCAGGTTCTTTCTTTCTAATGAGACATGAAGCCAGGATCCATCTGTCTGTTGGAGTAAGGTCAGAAATTGAAAATCCCAAGGCACTATTTCAAAAACATTCTCGGAATGTCATGCCAAGTTTTCCTAATGTCCTGAACCAATATTCCACCCTCATCAAAATTCACCAAAAACGGATTAACTCATCATTCATCTCATTACTCTTTGTGGGGCATCAATGGTACAGATTAGCTGTCCTGACTGTCTATACAACATAACTTCAAAAGCTGAAGTGATGTTGTGTGAATAGCTCTAAAATGTTTCATTTTGATAAGGTAATGTACTAATCATTAATATAAACTGCTCAAGCTTCACTCTTACAGTTTATGAAGTTATAATAAATAATAAAATAATCCTTGCGTTGATATAGCACCTTATCACGTCGTCAAGACATCTCAAAGCGCTTCACGGGATATACTGTAAAGTGGATTGACTGTTTTTTGTGTGTGGCCGAACCCTTTTTGAAAATATTTGAAAGTTATTTGAACCGCTGCCATTTTTATTGTCTAATTGCCCACAATGTTATGTTTTATGTTTAATGGACTGCAAAATGCATTTCTCAAGTCAACTTTGTGTGTATCACAATTTTTTCTATGAGATTTTTGCTGCATCTGATCAATGTTGAGCAAATGTCAGGTTGCACAGACTGTGTTGTTCACCATCAGTTGCACAGGCTGTGCTGTTTGACAGGTTTTACAGACCGTGCTGGTTACACAAACTCTCTGAATCGAGCCAGCCCTCTGTGGCGGCCTCAGTAGTCCGGTTCCTGAGCAAGATAAGTCCGCAGTATTCCAGGGCACTGTTGTGGACAACACAGCTAGTCTGGCACATTGGAATCGGCAGGGCAGACGAATCACTGGGGCACAGAATCATCCCACTCAGCTCCTGTTAACCCTGCAAGCCATAGCCCTAACGGGCAGGGTGGTCCTTGCTGGACAAGCAGGGGGAAAGCTTGTCAGACAGCAATATCAATGACCAGCTACACGGTTTTCGTGATTTGGACTCCAGCAGCACACTCTGGGGTCCTCAAGCCTCGGCTCTTGCTAAAAAACTCATTAAGAGCGAGAAAAAGGAGTATGAGGGTAAGCTAGCTAGGAACATCAAGTCTGATTGTAAAAGTATTTACAAATGTATTAAGAGGAATAGGCTAGTGAGGATAAATGTAGATCCACTTCAGTCAGAGACAGGAGAAGTTGTAATGGGGGATAAGGATGTGGCAGAGTCCCTAAATGGGTACTTTGTATCTGTCTACACCCAAGAAGACACAACAAGTCTGCCAACAATAGAGATGCACCAAGGGGATAAGGACAGGGAGCAACTTAGGGAAATTTTCATTAGTACAGAATTGGTGCTAGCGAAACTGTTAGCTCTAAAAAGTGACAAATCCCCTGGTCCAGATGGCTTGCATCCCAGGGTTTTAAAAGAGGTAGCTCATGAGATAGTGGAGGCCTTGTGTCGGATCTTCCAAAATTCCTTGGATTCTGGAACAGTCCCCATGGATTGGAAGATCGCAAATGTCACACCACTATTTAAAAAAGGTGGAAAGAAACGATGGGGAACTGTAGGCCAGTTAGTCTCACATCAGTGATAGGAAAAAAAATAATCATTGATTAAGGATGTGGTAGTGAGGTATTTAGTGGAGAACAATATAATTAGGCCAAGTCAACATGGCTTTACAAAAGAGAAATCATATTTGACAAATCTCAGAGTTTTTTGAGGATATTTCGAGTAAACTAGATAAGGGTGAATCAGTGGATGTGGTCTATTTGGACTTCCAGAAGGCATTCGATAAGGTGCCGCATAAAAGGTTAGTCCAAAAGATAAGGGCCCATGGAATTGGGGGGAGCATATTAACGTGGATTGGGGAATGGTTAACGGGTAGGAAACAAAGAGTAGGGATAAACGGGTCCTTTTCAGATTGGCGGGATGTGACTAGTGGAGTGCCACAAGGATCAGTCCTTGGGCCTCAGCTATTTACCATCTACATCAACGATCTAGATGAGGACATCGAAGTTAATATATCTAAATTCGCAGATGACACAAAACTAGGAGGAAGTGTCAACACAGAGGACGACGTTAAAAAAATGCTGCGAGACATAGATAGGTTAGGTAATTGGGCAGATAGGTGGCAGATGAAGTATAATGTAGGGAAGTGCAAAGTCATCCAAACAGCAAAAACAGTAGAGCGGGTTATTTTTTAGAAGGGGAGAGATTGGAATGTGTTAGCGTCCAGAGGGACTTGGGTGTCCTTGTACACCAATCACAGAAAGTTAGTCTGCAGGTGCAGCAGCAATTAGGAAGGCGAACGGTATGTTAGCATTCATTATGAAAGGATTAGAGTATAAGAGTAGGGAAGTCTTGCTGCAACTGTATAGGGCCCTGGTGAGACCACACCTGGAATACTGTGTGCAGTTTTGGTCTCCTTATTTAAGGAAGGATGTACTTGCCTTGGAGGGGGTGCAGCGTAGATTTACTAGGTTAGTACCAGGGATGAAGGGGATGAGTTACGAGGATAGGCTGACCAATTTGGGCCTATATTCTCTAGAATATAGAAGAATTAGAGGGGATCTTATAGAAACCTATAAGATCATCAAAGGGCATGATAGAGTAGATAGTGGGAGATTGTTTCCCCTGGTTGGAGAAACTAAAACCAGGGGTCACAACCTTAAAATCAGATCCCAGCCCTTTCGCACTGAGTTGAGGAAGAACTTCTTCACTCAAAGGGTGGTGAATGTATGGAACTCACTACCCCAAAGGGCTGTTGACGCTCAGTCCTTGAACATATTCAAGACTGAGATAGATAGATTTCTTATTGCAAAAGGGATTAAGGGATATGGGGATAAGGCAGGGTCAGGTTATTAGCTGGAGTTAGATTAGAAGATCAGCCATGATTGAATGGCGGGGCAGGCTCGAAGGGCCGGATGGCCTACTCCTGCTCCTACATGTTATGTTATGACCTGTGGCTCGTACTTTCTTTTCAGAATTAGATAAAAGCAGGAATGCGTCCCTCCAGGGAGAGAGAGAGCACGTTTCATTCCAGCAATCTTATCGCCGGGATTTCCATGTGTTGTTGTGGTGGTGGTGGTGGTGGAAATCTCAGGTTGGTTTGCACGGTGTGCGGTTTCCGTCTTCGTGTCAGACTGATACCCACACCCCCCCACACACAACTCCACCCCCCCCCCCACCACACACACAACCCCACCCCCCCCACACACAACCCCACCCCCCCCCACACAACCCCACCCCCCCACACACAACTCCACTCCCCCCCCACACACACACAACCCCACCCCCAACCCCCCAACCCCACCCCCCCCACACAACCCCACCCACAACCCCACCCCCCCACCCACAACCCCACCCCCCACCCACAACCCCACCCCCCACCCACAACCCCACCCCCCACCCACAACCCCACCCCCCCACACAGCTCCACCCCCCCCCACAACCCCACCCCCCCCACAACCCCACCCCACCCCCACACAACCCCCCCCACACAACCCCACCCCCCCACACAACCCCACCCCCCCCACACACAACACCACCCCCCCCACACACACACAACACCACCCCCCCCACACACACACAACACCACCCCCCCCCACACACAACCCCACCCCCCCCCCCACCCCCCCCACACAACCCCACCCCCCACACACAACTCCACTCCCCCCCCACACACACACAACCCCACCCCCCCCCCCACACACAACCCCAACCCCCCACCCACAACCCCAACCCCCCACCCACAACCCCACCCCCCCCCACCACAACCCCACCCCCCCCCCCCCCCCCCCCCCACACAACCCACCCCCCCCACACAACCCCACCCCCCCCCACACAACCCCACCCCCCACCCCCCCACACACAACCCCACCCCCCCACACACACAACCCCACCCCCCCCCCCCCCCCCCCACACAACCCCACCCCCACACAACCCGGCCCCCAACCCCCAACCCCACACCCCACACACAACCCCACCCCCCCCCCCCACACACAACCCCACCCCAACCCCCCCAACCCCACCCCCCCACACAAAACCCCACCCCACCACACCCCACCCCCCACACACAACCCCACCCCCCACACAAACCCCACCCCCCCACACAGCCCCACCCCCCCCCCACAACCCCACCCCCCCAAAAAAAAGTCTGTTGACCGGGTTACAGATACACACACACACACAGAGACACACACTGGTGGAGCAGAACTGGAGCAGAGGTTCTGGGCGGGTCCATCATCAGTGTGTGGACACAGTCGATCAATCAACCGTGGGCTGAAGCTGCCCGGACCCGACCCAGCGAGAGAGAGGCCATGGCGAGGAGCCTCAGGAGCCTCGGGAGCCTGGTGAGTGAGTGAGGCCGAGAGGGAGAGGGACCACCCCCACCCCCGGGGGGTAATAGACACCAGGCCCGGCCTAGAGCCCCTCCCCACCCCCCCCCAGGCCTGGTCCTGGTCCTGGGTCCGGATCAAGCTGTAGCTTCTGGGTTCTTGTCGGACTTGACAGCGCCGCTGTGACGACTCGTTTGAGGGAGGGAAGGTGTCAGAGAGTGTGAGAGAGAGAGAGTGAAAGAAAGTGAGTGAGTGAGAGAGAAAGAGCTGAGAGCAAACTGTTGTGTTGTCTCCCCCCCCCCACCCCCACCCCCCGGGTGAGCAACTGCTCTGCCTGACACCCGCTTCATGATGGTCTGCAAGGCTGGGGATCTGCTCTGTAGGATTAGGGCTGGGGGTTTGGGGTGGTGGGGGGTGGGGCTGTGGTGGGGGGGGGGGGTTGGGGGGGTGGGGGGTTTGGGGCTGTGGGTGGGGGGGTGGGGGGGGGGTTGGGGATGTGGGTGGGGGGGGTTGGGGATGTGGGTGGGTGGTGGGGGGGGATTGGGGCTGTGGGTGGGGGGGTGGTTTGGGGCTGTGGGTGGGTGGTGGGGGGGTTGGGGATGTGGGTGGGGGGGTGGGTTTGGGGATGTGGGTGGGTGGGGGGTTGGGGATGTGGGTGGTGGGGGGTTGGGGATGTGGGTGGGTGGTGGGGTGGGATTGGGGCTGTGGGTGGGGGGGGTGGGTTTGGGGCTGTGGGTGGGTGGTGGGGGGGTTTGGGGATGAGGGTGGGGCGGTGGGTTTGGGGCTGTGGGTGGGTGGTGGGGGGGGATTGGGGCTGTGGGTGGGGGGGTGGGTTTGGGGCTGTGGGGGGGGGGGGTTTGGGGATGTGGGTTGGGGGGTTTGGGGCAGTGGGGGATGAGATGTAAATTAAACTACCTTAAAGGGTTGCAGTCTTGGTGAGTAATAGTCTAATGTGCAACCAGTGACCTCTGGACTTGCGGTTGCCCAACACAGAAAGTTGCCTACAGCGAAAAAAACAAGTTGATATCATTTGAACCGGATTGTGCGTAAACTGTGACCTGAAATAATCGGATTAACGATAATATCAATGAATTACAGTGCTCAAAATGTACTCTAACCGAGATGCTATGTAAATTTAACACAACTTCCCTACTTTTGTACTTTATTCCTCTGCATAGAAAGCCAAGGACTTTTGCAAAGTCTTGTGCACCTATACTGCAATGGGTTTATAACATCAAAGGGACAGTCAGCTTCTTTATTCTTCCTCCAAAAGTCATTTTGACCTCACCCCCTCTCTATCTCACTTCAAATCTTATCAGGCAAGTTTCCTTACTCCACACGCCTAATAACAATCCTTCAACAAAAAAAACAATAATAAATTGGTCACTTCGATCCACGACTGTTTGTGGGACACTGCTGTGTGCAATTGGCTGCCGTGTTTTGCCTACAAATTTACAGTATATTCTGTGAAGCGTTTTGAGATGTCTGGAAGACGTGAAAAAGCACTATCTCAAATGCAAGGATTATTATTATTAATAGGAATAATAAGATTCTACAAAATGCAGCCACTACACACCCTACAGTAAATCCTACCAAGTGCTTTTACTTGTCCTCCCAATGTGTAAAGGTGCATAACAAATGCAAGGATTCATTTTATCTTTGCAAACGCAGAACTGATATTTGTAGGGAATCACAACAACCAACTTGCAGAAAGCAATGTTCCACAGAGAATCCTGAAGGAAAATTAGTTGTGGCTAGATTACCAAGAGAAACTCTTCTTTTCAAATAGTGCTGTGGAATCCAATTAATTATTGGATGAACACTTAAATACTGTTGGGCAACTTCTGTTCATCGGGGCTACTATGTTAACCCAATGTTTTATCACGGGGTTAGATCATTCATTTTGTGATAGTTCTGCTTGGTAATTGGACTTGTGACTTTCTTTCTCTCCCGGGGATGCAAGTGGGGCAATATCGATGTGCAAACTGCTCCAAAACATGCAATAGTAAAATGAGTTTTAAGTTCTGCCGAAATGGATATACAATTCAAATTGATAGCAATGTATTCAATGTATTATACAAAATATCTTGCTCTGCATGTGAAAAAAATATATACGAAGTACTTTGAAATGTAATCTTTGAGTACTTCTGTTTTTGAAGGTTTCATTGAGAGCCAGTCTTCAGATTGGTTTGCGATTCTATTCCTCCAGTGGTCGGACTTCTGCATCTTCTTCAGAGGCTAAACATGGAGGACAAGGATTCAGTTTTGGTGATTTAAATTTTGGATAATTTAATTGATATGTTGATAAATAAATAACTTTTATTCCTTTCCTCTCAAGGAAGTTGTGTGTAAACACTGATATTGCCTCAACAGCTTTAACATCTGTTGATTTTTCATTATAATTAGTTAGTGGCAGCTTTTTATCAACTGACCTCTATTCAAAATTGAGTTGGTAGGCTATTTAAGTGGCTTAGTTCATATGAGATGCTTCTCAATTTGAAACTCAGAAATACAGATCAGGAAGGTTCCTTGTTTTACTCCTCAGATCTTGCTGAGTAGTAAATCTGAACTTGTATTGAGCCTGATTTGAATCTGATCGTCCTGGATTCACCAATTCTGTTATCCCACCAGTGCGTTGCATCATTTGACCAGTGGCCTAGATTCTCATTTAAAACTGAAGGGCAATCAATTGGTATTGTAATAAATTGATAGTCTTAGTCATAGAAGTGATGGGACTAGGTGCTTTATGAAATTGAAGCATTCACACTGGTGCGCACAGCATGATTACTTTTCCAAGGTTGAAGTTAAGGCACTTCCTTAAAGTTAAAGAAAAGTCGCGTTACTCTGCATTTCCCACTTGCTTACTTAACTGGAAATGCTTGATACTGAGACTGAGTACACAAAGTGGAAGTAAGTTTCATTCCCCAGAGTTACACCTTCATTTTGCTGATCTCGACATATACCGAGTTTAAAACAGTACAAATTTATTTTGTGTCCCAAAGAACCATTAATGTACAAGGCATTAGAAATTTTGCCCACAAACTGCATGCATTTTGTGGGCAAATCCTGTGAAGCACTTTGAGACCTCTCAATGATGTGATAAGGCACTACATCAATTGCAAGGATTATTATTTTATTATAATTGATGCATCTTCTGACATTGTGCTGTGTTTTGGGTTATTTCTACAACTTTTAAAATATCTTCTGGAGAATCATAGAATCACAGAATTACACAGCGCAGAAGGAGGCCATTCGGCCCATTGCATCTGTGACGGCTCTTTTAAAAGAGCTATCTGAATCAATCCCATTCCCCTGCTCTCCCCCCATAGCCCTGCAAACTTGTCCTCCCCAGAAGAAATTTCTACTTTTTAAGAAACTTTAAAATAAATTTCTCTCTATTAAATCTACAGAATTAACAGAGGAACAGAAAGAGTTCCAAGCTACAGCACGCAAATTTGCGCGTGATGAAGTGGTCCCTGCTGCAGCTGAGTATGACAGAACAGGAGAGGTTAGTCTGTCCCCACGTGTGATATGCATTTCCTTGTGAAAACCTTTCTCACTCAGAGTAAATTCCCATGTTTCGTGTTGTGTTGCATAGGTTATGTAATTCCATAGTGAATCCCAACAATTGCTTTATGAGTTTGAGATTTTTCTCTCCCTCCCCAAATAACTAAATTCAGAGTGTGGAGTCAACATTATCTCTATTTGTTTGTTTTTTTGTTTGTTTGTTTGTTTGTTTGTTCGTACATCCCTTCAACTAACCACTGTTTTGTGTATGATAAGAAAATAAAATGGTTTGAATGAGACAAGGCCATTCAACAATCAAGCCTTTTCTTCCACAAGCTGTGTATCATGCTCATCTGTGAGGTACTGTGATGTAAGTAGGTAGAGTGCTAGATTCTGGGCACCAAATCTACCAACCTGAGCACTAAGTCAGATGTTGAATGAAAATGGCATAACAATACTCTGCCGATTCAGCACATTTTATATGTTCTATGTGCAAAATTAAGGATCAAAAAGATGTTTTCTCCTTTGGAGAACATGCAACGTTGAGCAAACCGATAGATAAGCATGTTATAAACAAAAGGCTTATATCCTTGAATTATGAAAAATGATAGCATGGGGGAATCTAAACACTTTTACCTTATCTAAGAGCATACTAGCTGATATGTAAAACTCCCTAATATTCCATTGTGAATCAAAGCCTTCTTTCATTTCATCAGTATCCTGTTCCACTTATTAAGAGAGCGTGGGAGCTGGGTTTGATGAACACACACATCCCTCAAAACTGTGGTAAGGCTACAACAACTTGTATGTATGTAAATATAAGGATATTGCCTTAGAGAACTTCACAAAGACTGGGTTGGACATTGAGCAAGGGAGGAGGGGGAAAGGGGAAAGTTGATCATAGACTCAATTTGCCCCATCTCTATCTTCAAATTCTGCGTAATCCTGGAATTGGTTTTGTAGACAGGATTTCAAGATAGAGACGAGGAAAAATTGAGGGTTAGAGAGAGGCGTTCCAGAGGTTATCAGTGTAGTTGCTGAGGTCACAATCTGACTAACAGATGAAGTAAATTGAAAATTTATCTTAAAGTAACATCTGTTTTTAAAGGAATAAAATAAAAATGTGAAAGTTAAAATGCAAATAATTATACTTTATCCCCTTGCAATACAGCGCCAAGCTGCAAATTGTTTAACTGGTTTGAAGAAATGGTAGTGAATATTCTGTCTCTAAACCAATTGGAGATGCTTGCCTACAAAACACATGTACAGTCACTACACCACATTCTGTAAACACTCTGAGACATACTGATTTAAAAGGTGTTGTATAAAATGCTAGGATATATCTAGAATTTAAATAGAAAATGATGAAAATATCTAGGAAAGAAGAATTAAGGATTTGAAGAAATTCAACAAATAAAAAAAAAATTTCACTACCTCTTTAAAATTCTGAAAATTTGGGGAGAGGTTAGATAGTAAAGAATTATCCCCATCACTTGGTACATTGACTTTTTAATTCAACAAAATCTTCAGGGTAAGTGAAATCCACTAACTTTTGTTTTAGGAAAAAGCTCAGTATCCATCTCACTAACCAGCAATTAATTGAGAATCATATTCTGAAAAACTGTCAGAATATAAACCTGGAAGCTTGGTTTCATTAACATCATCATTTTCAGTGTGTGTGGGGGGCGGAGGGGGAGGGGGTGGGCAGAGGGCTGCCTCCAGTACATTTCATTATTATATTCTGAATGCGCTGCTAAATTGGCCCCAATGTTCCTGCTTTCTCTATTTCTTACAAACACTACTTTTATAATAGGTGGTATGGGATTAGGTATTTTTGATGCCTGTCTGATAACTGAGGAGCTGGCCTATGGATGTACTGGTATTCAAACAGCAATAGAGGCCAACTCACTGGGGGTAAGTTTCTGTCGCTTGCTACTGTATATAATCCTTTCTCATTTTAGCTGATGTTGAAAGTTTTTTTNGTGGTTGTTGCAGTAGTGCTACATTTAACTGTTCTCTATTTTTACTTGAAGCAAATGCCAATAATTCTAGCTGGCAATGAACAACAGCAGAAAAAGTACTTGGGACGGATGATTGATGAACCATTAATGTGTGTAAGTGTGGCATTGTAAACATAGTTTACAACGAAAGGTTTATTGAAAAAGTGATTACAATTTAACAGACTAGTTAAACCTCTTCTGTTTAGGCATATTGTGTTTCAGAGCCTGGTGCTGGCTCTGATGTGAGTGGGCTCAAGACCAAGGCAGAAAAGAAAGGTGATGAATACATTATAAATGGCCAAAAAATGTGGATTACAAATGGAGGCAAGGCCAATTGGTATGTTTTCCGCACTACTGGGTTTGTAACTTTTGAAATAGGGACCTTTTTATCAGTGTAATGACTGTGATTTGTAGCCAAATACGGCAGTGAATTGTCGCTCAGCAATGGCCGACAAACAGCCGTGAAGTGAATGACATGTTAAAATCTGGACTGTACAGTGGGAGAAACTGTTTTGGTTGACGTCTCATCTGAAGGAAGCACCTCCAACAATAAAGAATACCCCCAGCACTGCACCGGAGCGTTAGCTTGACTGATATTTTGTTACAGGGGTAACATTTGGCAAAAAGATTATGCGTTCATTTAAAAAATATTCGGGTACAGAACTTTTTTCCATAACAGTGCATTACGTAGCTAGGGTTTGGGGAAGAAGAGTAGCTAATTCAAATGGGATGACCCTGCAGTGGAACTGACCATCAATCAATATTATTTTAATCCTTTTATTTGCATTGACAATTGAACAAAGACCAAATAGAAATTTGTCTGATATTGATCAAAGCCAAGTGTAGACCTTTGTGTTGTGTAATTGCAGTCTGAAGCCATCTCACTGGGTTGGGAGTTTCAGCCATGCATTAAGAGCTATTTTTAATATGGGAGAGAGAGAGAAAAAAAGAAAAGAAAAGGTTGCGTTTATTTACTGAATATTCTGCTGAATAAAACGGCAGCACAGAAAGTCATTTGGAGAATATGTATTTATATTCAATCATACTGTTTTGGAGGGAAGAAGAGACATTATTCTATTTCCTTTAGCAAAATCAGGACAGCATTTCACCTGTAGTGTTTGAATCTTGCTCCGAATCTGCTCAATGACATTTTGCTTTTTAAATAATATATATGTATTTCGGATAATGTGGCACTGAGCCATGCATTTGATATAGCGCTTTTCACGTCGGGAGGACGTCCCAAAGCGCTTCACAGAACACACTGTAAAGTGAATTGATTGTATATTTGTGGGCGAACGCGGCAGCCAATTGCGCACAGCAATGTCCCACAAACAGTCGTAGATTGAAAATGACCAATTTTATTATTGTTTATTTTTGGGGGAGGGATTATTATTAGGCATGTGGAGTAAGGAAATGCAAGGATTCTTCACTGAGCCATGCAGACAGCCATACCCCAGAACTCTGAACTCTGGCTTTTGCTGAGGTAATCATCTGGGATTACAATTAAAATACTGCAGCTAGCCTCAGCATTACTGGACTTGAGAGGACTGTTTCAGCCCTTGGAACTTAATCCTAGTGAACTGTAGAGTTTCCTGGCGCAAATATGCTGTAATAATGTTTGAATTATCAGTCTTCCTCTGTGAATATCATCACACATCATGGGGAGCACATTGACAACTGACAACTAGATTGACAGTAGCTGCTGATAGAAAATTCATGCACAAAATTTAAACCCAGAGATAGTCTAAATAATAATAACCAGTATAATCATTGAATCTTAGGGTTTAGATGCCAGGCGTAAACTAGTCTTTGCTCACACAGTTTATAATACAATTTCAACCTCCTGATATGATTATGCCCCTGAAATGACACCCAGAATACTATTTAATAAAGCATATACTGGACATTTGATTTTTCTGTGATTAGTCACAAATATCTTTCAATGGTCTTCTATGAATGCTTCTCACAGCTGTGAATTCATTACAAAAACCTACATGAGGCCTCAACTAAAAACAAGATTAAAACAAATCTAAATAACTTGGGTTTTGTTGATGCGTTTTTAAAATCCATGTTATTAAGGAGTACCTTTGGCCACCAGGCACTAATTGTAAATGGAAATTATGTTGCCATTACTGTATTTAGTTGTCGTTCTGCTGTACATTACCAGTGGTTTATTTTGCTGAGGGAATTTTGATTTTGTATCAGAAATCTTTGTTTGGTGTGACAGTATGATTGTTTTCCGAGTTGTATACATAATAAGTTTAAAATCCTGAGATAAGGATAATCAATTTCAAGGACAAAACCAAAGGCTTTCTGTTTGCCTTATTTGAATTTATTTTGAAGTTTCACTGAAGCAGTTATATGGCTGGCCAGTAGAGATTCATGATACAACGAAAGAGGCTTATCAAAACTGTTGATGCCCTCTAGTGGCTTTATTGTTAAAATACTCTTTAGGGAAAAAAACTTTTTTTTCAAAAATTACTCACATAAAACATCATCAATTAGTTGGTGTTTATGGTACGGCCTTTGGTAGGTAAGAGGAGATTTTTTGGGGGGGCGGGGGNAGGGTATACCAAAGGGTCTCAAAATAAAGTGTCAAAGATAATTTCAACATGATAGAAAAATTGGGTAATGGGGAGAAGAAGTGAAAAGGAGAAAAAAGGTGTGGGAAAATTAAAGTGAGGAAAAGTAAACATCAAAAACGGATTACAACCACAAGAAATGGAGGAGAGAATAAAAGAATTAAACTGAGATTAAGGGTGATGTGACATCAATTATATTATAATTTGAACTTTTTTTGTATTTGTTGATTTATATGAATGTTTTTGCAGAACAGACATTTAGGATAGCAAATTAAGACAGTTTGGATATGATGTTAGGGATGCAATGTTTTAGAAACTTGACGCATGGGATAACTTTTTGTGATTTGGGGGGAATTAAGTTATTTGCCTTTGATTGTCGTATTTCAACAGCACAAAGTATATCAACATAATGCCTTAATGCCGATACTTTTGGATGTACCTTTCTAGTGATCATTTGGTTCATGGCTCAATCCTACTGGAGTTTATTAATGTATCCATTTTTGGCACTGCAGTCATCTGCTCCTAAAAATAGAGGCTGAGGCGAAAGAAAGTGATTTGCCTATGACTGGGCTTTCTCAACCTCATTTTCATTATTTGTTTTGTAATATTTGGGTATTATTAAATTTAACATCTTTCAGCACATGAAATCTGCTGCAGATTTTCTAAATCAAAAGGAACTGAGGACCAGTACTCACAAAAGATTGAAATTCGAGATTACAGGATATTTACACTTTTGAGTGTATTGAAGACATTTCAGAAATGCACTAGCTCAGATATTTTTTGCTTGGGGTCAATTCTAACGGTATCTTGATTCTACTCTAGTCAATCAGTGAGGAAAACCAGCTTTCTCTATTTCCTACAAACACTACTTTTATAATAGGTGGTATGGGATTAGGTATTTTTGATGCCTATCTGATAACTGAGGAGATGGTGATTCAAGGATGGCATCAACAAAAGCATAGGAGCAAGAGATATAGTATAATGAGTGCGTGCTAAATAAATTAAGCAAATAAAATACACCACTTTGGAACTGGATAATTATGCCAATTTTGATAAAATTATTTGCATATTTGTTTTTAACCAAAGGTATTTCCTTCTGGCCCGCTCTGACCTTGACCCCAAAGCCCCTGCAAACAAAGCCTTCACTGGTTTCATTGTGGATGCTGATAGCCCTGGAATACAAATTGGAAGAAAGGTATGTAAGTCTTGCGACAAAGCTCTTATAAAATACCTTCCAGAAATTCATACCCACAACCAACAATGCAGTCTCTTTATCAATGCATTCTGTTATTTCCTCAAACAAATCTAAAGTGTAGAGTCAATTATCTGCAGTAAAGGTTTGCTTAAAGAAACATGTAATAAAAGTACATGGGTAGAAGTTCCACCTGGTCTATATTTACTCAGAGCATCTAGAATTTGTCAAATTCTTAACTACAGTCTTTAATTTGGAATCCAGTTTTTTGAAACAGCAACAACTTCTTGCATTTATATAGTATCCTTCACGCAGGATAGCATGTCAGAGGGCTCAAGTCAATGTTTCAGAAAATGGACTTCAAAATTAAAATTTGCCAAATTCTGCGCAATCTGAAATAGAGTAAACCTAGAACCAGATACACTTTAACAACAGAAGCCATCTAAGGTTTCATCAAAACATTTTGAATATCATTTCCATCTTTGTATTCTGATGTGGAAGGTAAAAGGCTGATCACATCGGGTTTACATTCATGGAGTTTGTACTGCCTACTTGGAGTGCTGTTGGTGAAATGTATCTCTTCAGTGCTTAGTTACATGGATAGAATGAGACAAAGATATTTAGGTACAACTCTACCACTGCTACACAGATGAAGTATGTGTTCTCTGCTTGCCTGACAGATCAAGGGACATTGGCCTCACATATACCCTAATTGAAGATATTTGATAAATCAATAACTACAGGATATAAGGGCTTGCATAGTTCATCCTGAAGAACCTCAATCATGAATTGCCTGTCATCTATACTTTATGCTGTGGACAATTTACTATGGAATATTTCACCACCTTTAGTACCTTATGATTGATTATCTAAAATGATCACAAGTATTCAAGATAGACATTCACAGCCACTACAGTGAATGTAATGTGTACTAAATGCATGCTACCACAAGGTGAAACTTGGTATCATTGGTATGTTTCTTTACAAAAACAAAATCAACAAATACAACATCTTGCTTTTTAGTATTAGTTGTCTGTATTTAATGTATCTTTGTATAAAAGTTAGATTGGATTGTATAAAAAATAGATTATTTTTGATCTTATTTCTGCCTGCATAATCCATGAAACTAATGTCTTGTTAGGAAATTAATATGGGTCAACGTTGTTCAGACACCAGAGGTATTGTATTTGAAGATGTGAGAGTCCCCAAGGAGAATGTCCTACTTGGAGAGGGATCTGGCTTCAAAATTGCTATGGGAGCATTTGATAAAACCAGACCTCCTGTGAGTAAAATGTATTTTTAATTTTACTTGTTATTTTTTAATATTGGGCATTCCCTTCAAAAAAATAATAATTTGGTCACTCAATCCACGACTGTTTGTGGGACATTGCTGTGCGCATTTGGCTGCCACGTTTCAGCAACAAAATACACAGTCACTATACAGTGTATGCTGGAAAGTGAGTTGAGACGTCTCGAAGACGTGATGAGGCGCTGTATCAAATGCAAGAATTATTATTTATTATTATTCCAGGAAACTAATGATTTGGGTAGGCACATAAGAATTACGTGAAAACCTAATTTCTTCTGATATGCAATAAGAATAAATGCCCGATTGTAAGGTACAAATGTCAACCAGTATTTTAATACTGCAGTGACAAAGCAAAACTGCAAGCTTATCCATTCATTTTAAACACACGCCATCTTATAATTCCTCAAATATTTTTGGTCCTAGTAGTCCAAATACATTTCCTTGGATTTGGAAGAAAACTCAAAGCTGTTGCAATTGTTTTTTAATGAGAATGTTACACCCTCTCGAAAACATTTTTAAAGTGACGGGATCTCTCCCTTTCAGCTGCAAGTACTTTTTCTCCATTTCCATCAATGTGGATTTAATTTTATACAAATATGAAACATCATGGGATGTTTATTATTTATAGGACCATGAGTATGATGGAAACTTTGCAAACATGTGGTATCTGAAACCGCAGAGAAAAACAGCTGCTTTAAAAATCACATGCATAAAATGAGTTGGAAATGTAAAGTGCATGAAAATCTGTTATCTCTTTATTCCAACAGTTTGTTTGTTTATGATATAAGTTGATGTGTATTGTTTCTTTTACTGATTTGAAAGGAGGGATAATTTAAACAAGGCAAATAATGAATAATTTAAACATAGTATTTTTAAACATTACAACAAAACATTGACTTGAATGGATGTTTCATCGTAATTACTTTTGGTCCTTGGAGGATATCATTTCCAACTGTGAATTTGTCATAAAACTTATTTGGCCTGATAGCTCAGCAGGTAAGACCACTCGCCAGTATGAAACTGACCAGCCACGCAGACTAGGAAGGCCTCATGTTCTGTTGTTGATGCACGTTGCGCGAGCTGATTGTGAGTAGGAGAATTGCAGTTGCCCATGTTTTTTTGGGTAGAAAAGTCCAAAATCAGCTAGTGTTGTTCTCAAATGATCCCTTGCTGGAATGATGGCTGGGCTGCGATTTTCTATCTTCTCGCCCCAAAATTTTTTATTGAATATTCTGACAATATTTGTTGTCCAGGTTCATATATGGAGAATTCTCCTTTCACTGAGAAACCAGCGAATATTTGGTACCTGTGGAACTATGAACTGGGATTAAAATAGGTTAGGGCTCTTTTGCTGATTCAGCAAATTTATGCAACAACTGAATAACGCACATCCTGAATTTGATTCTCCTGAATTAGGTCATTTCATACTTGTCGGCAATCGGAGATGATAATTAGCCTCTGTAACCCAAATTAGGGAAGAAAAAAATTTAAATATGGTATTGAAATATTGACCTTGCTGGATATTTGCATGTTTAACAATCAGGGAAGAACAGGATCAGACTGTAGGCTGCAGTAGGCCATGGTCAAGTAATCTTAACACTCACTGTCAAGACTCTCACAAAGGCATTTTTAAAGGTCAGTCCTAATGGCTGGAGTTTTGCTTCTCTGTAAGGACCTCCCTCATCTTCCTATCACTACATTATGGAGGACACATTGACTAACGTAAAACCAAATGCAAGCGCTATTCCGAAGCATTGTTTGGAGCCATGTAGTGTGTCTTCATTACGAAGATATGCACTGTAAGCGTTTGGGGTTGACCATAATTTAAACATTTACATTTTTCCAAATCGGTCAGATAATTGTTATATATAATTTTATATTCTAATTTTTTTAAAAAAAGAATAGGTTGTATGATGCCATACAAAAAGTGTTTGTGTATTATTAAGTAACATGAAAGATACTATGTAAATATAAAATGTTTTGTATTATTCATTCGATAATTGAACCAATACTGATTTCTGTTCCATTGTGATGAGATGATTATAATTGCAGGTAGCAGCTGGAGCTGTTGGTTTAACTCAGAGAGCAATCGATGAAGCTACCAAATATGCCTTGGAAAGGAAAACCTTTGGAAAATTACTTGTCGAGGTAGGCTGAGAATTATGTTGGATACCAAAATTAATTGTGCAATATTCAAGAAATGTTGTAGAAAGTGCAGCAAAATTACCAATGTAGGTCAGTTAAAATGGACATTAGCTTGGCTCAGTTGGCAGCATGCTCAACAACAATTTGCATTTATATAGCACCCTTCACACGGGGTGGAGTCCCACATTGGAACTTTGAACTCACAGTCTAAACTGTAACACTCCAATACAGGGCTGGGGGAGAGCTGCACAGGTGCCTTCCTTCAGATGAGACATTTAACTGAGGTATGGGTATTAAAAATTCCATGATACTATTCCAAGAGAAGGGAGTTTCTCGTAGTAACCTGCCCAAAAATCACCCAGATTGGTCATTTGCTTCATGGTTTTTTGGGGGACGTTGCTGTATACAAATTGACTGATCTGAAAATTTGCCATTTTTGACACAGGTGCCAGGAAAGTTCTGCACCAATGTAAAGAATATTCAAGTACCTATAGCCTGTTGCACCCTGATATAGTGCTGGTTGGGATTTGATGGATCCCACCACCATGTTACAATAGGGGCTCTGCTGTAGTCTGTCATGGTCGGTATCATGTTGAATGCTAATAGGTGGAAGCAGATTTATTCCTAGCAGAATGAATTGATGAGGTCACGAACAGTATGCTGCAATTATATTTGGACAATTTCAGTTTGAAACAAAATTAACAAAGCAGATGTTGAAAAGAAATACCCACATTTCAATTTTTGTTTTATATGTTTTTTCCTCAGCATCAGGCAATCTCTTTCCTGCTCGCAGAGATGGCTATGAAGGTTGAACTAGCCCGACTTGCTTACCAGAGATCAGCATGGGAAATCGATTCAGGATGCAGGAATACCTATTTTGCCTCCATTGCAAAGGCTTTTGCAGGTGACATTGCAAATCAGGTTGCAAGTGACGCTGTTCAAATTTTTGGAGGCAACGGGTTTAACAGTGAATATCCCGTGGAAAAGCTTATGAGAGATGCCAAGATATACCAGGCAAGTATTTTTCAATGTACAGGTTATATACTGTACTCGTTAAATAATAACATGACAAGATTTTAATTTTATTATGCTTTTTTTAAAAGAATGTGAATTTAAATTTGACTAAAAAAATCTCTATATAATGTTGTATCTTGGAAGAGGGTGGTTCTTTATTTACTTCATTGCAGTTCTGTAAATTGCATTTTACTGCATTTACCTACAAAATACAATCACTACAATTTACAATAAACCCCATTTAATACTATGAGATATCCTCCTGACATGAAAGGTGCTATATCAAATATAATTATTAAATTGTTTAAATACTTGATTGCTAGTATAGATCCAAAACTTAACATTGTAGTTTTTGTTTAATTAAAATGTTTTGTTTTCTAGATCTATGAAGGAACTGCTCAGATACAGAGATTGATAATTGCACGTGAGCATCTTGCCAAATTCAAGAAGTAAAGATGAATATATACTACCGGGTTACATAATAAAATGCTTATCAATGCAATTTCACTGTTATTTCCCACTTTATATCCATATGAAGTGACTAATGAAGTGGTCAATCTATTTGTAAAAATTGTTTAAACACTGTTAGTCAATGATCATTGGGTTTTTAAAATTAGTTAAAAACTTCATAATTTTTCAAATCTACACGACGACAAATGATTGTCTTCTGATTTTTAAAAATAAAATATATAACTTATGTTCTCTTCACTGAATCTAACAAACAAGGATTCTGAGTTATTTTACTTTCAATCATAGTAAAATAGTAACTGTGAGGAGATGCTGGATTTCCTGAAGACCAAAATCGAGGGGATCTGTTCAGTCGCTTCCGCCCTCCCAACCACCAACCCCTCCCCATCTCTCACTCACGCTCCAGCCCCTACCCATCCCTTTCTCCATACCTTCGAACCTGTGCTGTAATGACTTTGTTTCCAAGCCACAGATCATTCAACAACAATAACTTGCATTTATATAGTCAGCTTCACGTGGGGGCAGTGTCTCGGAGCGTTTAACTGTGACGGGGCCCGACACCGAGCCGGGGGGCGGGGAGTGAGCAGGTGACTGTACGAATGGTCGAAGATCTTCAGTCGTGATCTAAAAAAGGGCAAGGAGGGCGGTAAGACACAGGGATTGAGGGAGAGAATTCCAAAGCTTCGGGGCTTAGTGGCTGAAAGTGTGGCCGCCACTGGTGGAACGTAGGGGACAACGACAAAATTTGTACAGCGCCTTTCAGGTCGAGAGGACGTCCCAACGTGCTGGACAGTCAAGAGTTTCGGATCTCCTCGCTGGGACGAGGGACAAGCAGAAGGTCAGAGTCAGCCGAGTGGAGGCACCGGGTAGCGGTGTGGGGAGAGAGGAGATCAAAAACGTAGGGAGGTGCCAGGACGCGAAGGGATTTGCGGACACCCTCCACTCCCCCCACACCCCACACCCTTAATCGCCCGAACCCGAAACGGGAAGAGCTGCGCGACTTCTCTTCATAGTTTCTTGATCGTTGGATCCATCCATCGCTGTCCACGTCCTCCTGGATAAATCCACGTCGTTCGTACTTTTTCCCGTGCCGGTAAACTGCGAGCTTTTTTCGAGCCAACGATTCGAGAATTTTTTTTTTTTTCTTTTTTTTTTCTTTTGGTTCACTTCTCATTCCTCCGCGAAGCTCTTCGGGACGGTCCGGACGTAGGTGGGGGCGGTGAGGCGCGGTGTCGAACCCGAGGGTTATTAATGAGGACGACGATGACGGCGGCGACGATGATGATGATGATAATGATAATGATTATGTTTACTGATAAGGTGGCGCCAAGGGGTGGTGGGGGGGGGGTTTAAAATATTTTGTAACACGCCCCCCCTTCTCTTTGCAGCTGCTGTCTAGGCAACCGACGTCCCCTTCGACCCCATTCACCCCCACCAACCAACCAACCAACCAACCATCTGAGCTGTGGGCGCGGCTGTGTCGAGTGCCGAGCAGTGCCGCAGGCAGTCAGGCAGCGGGAGGGACGCCTGTTTACCGAGCTCGCGTGGGGGCGGGGGCTTTCCTCCTGTTCAGGGCTGACAGTTGGGCTCGTGCCGCTGCGGTGCTGAGCCGTGAGGAGAGGAGAGGAGAGGCGAGAGGAGGGCGGGCGTTTGTGTGGCGGCGGCGGCGGCGGCGGCAAACCATGGTAAGGGGAGGATTTTCCTGGCTGTCGGCGGTGTTCAAGGCCCAGCGCTGTGGGCGGAGGGAGGGAGGGAGGGAAGGAGGGAGGGAGGGGAATGGAATGAAGCACCGTCTTCCCGGTTGAAATCAAAACTCACCGTTTGGGGTTTTTTTTTTCCTCTCTCGCCCGACTGCAAAAGGCAAAAAGGCGTCAGGTATACTGAATGATTTTATTCTTTAGGTTGGCGGCCCCGCCCGCCCGCCCGCCCGTGTCTCGTCTTGTCCCGGGTTCGCATTATGACAGTACTGGACTGTATTCTGATCTGCGGGTTTTTTAATATGTATATTATTTAGATATATATATATTTGTGCTGAATACACTCGTAAATGAAGACCCAGCTCGGCTCGAACCGTGTGCGCGCGTCAACAGCCCACACCGTCAGTCGTGTCGGTTTACGTAGGACCACACAGCAGTTTGCATTTATTTCCACAAGGTAGATTTGAATAAAAAACTCCTGAGCGGAATTTGGGTCGGTTCGAGGCGGTTACCTGACTTATAATGTAGCCTTAACTTACTTACGATAAGTCTCCCCGCTTCGCCCCCCCCCCCACTTTTGCCTCCTTCGAGGACCCACCTCAAGACTCTCCTCTTCGGCCGCGCTTTCGATCACCCTCCTTCCCCGCCCTCCCCAATCCCGAACCGACCCCCCACCCCAGCTCGGGTCCGAAACACTGACTGTCCAGCGCCTCGGGACGTCCTCCCGGCGTGAACGGCGCTATACGCGCGTAATTTTGCTGTTAAGCGGATCAGATTTTTGCGAGCTTTACTGAACGAACCTCTTTGCCCCAATCCTCCCTCCCCTCTCCTTCTCCTTCCTTGTTGCTTGTGTGCGTGTGTGTGGGTGCATTTCTTTCCAGGGTACTCCAGCCAAAGATGTCACAATTTCAGCTGACGCGCTTGCTGTTCTTTTGTTGGACAAGCATGTGGATTACATCGCCTCGTACGGAACAAAGAAGGACGATTATGTAGGTGCATTTATTTTGCGTAAATTATTATTTCCGGGCAGGTAGAAGCCGTTTGGAAGAACCTGCTGTGTGATTACCATACGGTAGAAATTGTTTGATTGGCGAACGTTATAGATTTTAAGTGTCAAAGTACAACAATAATCGATGTGTATATATATTCTGCTGTGCGCAATTGGCTGCCGCTTTTCGCTCACAAAATATACAGTCGGTTCACTTTACAGTATACTCTGAAGTGCTTTGAGACTTCTCGAAGACATGATAAGGCGCAATATCAAATGCAAGGATTATATTCAACAGCTTTTTTTTAACAAAAATCTTTTGAGAACTAAACAAATCAACTAAATTCACAATCAAATATATTCTGAAAAATTAAGGATGAAAATGGGCTTTTTTTTAGTTGAATACACTTGTAAACGCCTAGCTGTGCTGCAATAGTGTGTACAATATTACATTTATAAATTGCTATTTATCTTTATATGCACAATTAAAATCTACAAGTTGACTTTTGTGAAAATTAGCTTCTGCACAATAAACATCAATATAAAGAAACTGCATTGTTGATAACTATTTACACTTTTGATATTGAATTACTATATATGCATAATCAATCAAATCATTTTTTTTCAAAATAAGTATAGTATTCTAACTAAATTATTTGTCAATTTGAAGGTGACACTTTGTCCTAGCTATCAAATTGCTCACATACATTTTTAATTTCACTGTTTTTATTTCTGGCAACACATGGTGAGGTTTTAACCCAGTGTTGTATTATAGGTTTTACGTTTTCATATTTGTACATCCTACTTTCATTCTGAACAGTTGGTTTAACGGAAAATGTACCATATTAGTGCATGTTGCAGCAACTGCCATGTTTCTGTTTCTGCAAAATATTATTTATCTGTTGACCATGTCAAATAACTTGAAGAAATTGTATGCAGCAACAAATTGTCTCATAGGATATTGTACTGTTTATATGAACAGTGTGCAGTTATATGATGCCTTTCATGGAAAAGAATGTTTCAGGGTACTTGACAAATATAGTGATGGGCACTGAGCAGGGAAATAAGAGATTTAAAGATATTTACCAAAGGTATTGTTGAAGAGAGATGTTTTTGGTATGTTCTGAAGACAGCAAAATAAATTCCTGAATTAACTTACTATTTCTAAGAGAAACAATTGCTCTTGTCAGTTACAAATTGAACTCTGTTTCTCTGCCTCCACCCTTGGCTCCAGAACTACTGCTGTCCTGGTGGATTGTCTGTCAGACGCCAAGTCCTGGATGAGAATTAACTTTCTCCAGTTAAATGTTGACATGATGGAGGCCCTCCTACTTTGCTCCCATCAACACTTCCTCACCTCAGGGAACCCGTTTGATCCTCAATTATCCTTTAAATCCCTCATTCATGCCAGACTCCGTCTGTATTTCCGCACCTCCGCAACATTGCTGGCCTCCGCCACTATCTATCCCATCAGGCTGCTGAGACCCTCATTCATGCATTAATCATATCCAAGCACAACTACACTGCACTTCCCAATTCTTGGCTCCACAAACTGCAGATTGTTGAGAACTCAATTGATTACTCCCATCCTCGCCTGGCTCCATTGGCTCCCCATCCCTCACAAGATCGAGTTTAAAATCCTCGTCCTTTTGAAGCCATCGAGAACCTTGCTCCTCCCTAACTCTGTGACCTATTAACATCCTACCAACCTATCCGCTCCCTCCATTTGGCAGGCACAGGCCTGCACCATGTCCCACACCCCGCCGCACCACTAGCGGTCAGGCCTTCAGCTTTTCTGCCCCTGTTCTTAGAACTCCATTCTGGAATTCCTCCACCTCGCCCACTCCCTTACCTTCTTTGAAGCCTGTCTCAAGACTGTCTTCAGCCATCCTCTCAACCCCACCCCTACCCTCCACCCATCTTGATTCCAGCCTCCAGCTTTGGTGCAAACCCTTGACTGTCCAACGCCTTGGGACGTCCTTTGGACGTGAAAGGCACTATATAGATATTATTTGTTGTTCATGATAAATATTAATAATTCTTCATCTAATTTTTATAGGAATATTGCATGTCTGAGTATCTACGAATGAGTGGAATTTATTGGGGCTTGACAGTTATAGATCTGATGGGACAACTGCACCGAATGAACAAAGAAGAAATTCTCCAGTTTGTTAAGTCATGTCAGCATGACTGTGGTGGAATCAGTGCTAGTTTATGTCATGATCCTCATCTTCTGTATACCCTTAGTGCTGTACAGGTAAATATCTGATCAGAGAAAATAAATTTGTTTATCAGAATATTTGTTTTTGACCTATTTTGATACAATAGCATTTATTGTTTTAATTATTTTGCCTAATGCTTGAGGCAGCAGACCACCTAATTCTTTTTTTTAAAAAAAACTCCTTATTTTGTTTTAAAATAAATTGTGACCAGGCATTTAAAAGCGATTTCTTCTTATATATTCAAAATGAGACATTTTGTAATCAGGACTCCAAACCATTAGATTTATTCATTTAGAGTTGGTGCATGAGTGAAGTTTTTGTTTTAAAAAATGATTTATAAAACTGTTGAAAAACAGATCCTTCTACAAGAAAACATTGAATCCCTAATTTAACCTGTATTTTTGGAATTTACAAATTACAAAGATTATTTATTTTGCAATCAAGTTGTACTTTCACTTGATTTGGTCGTTTTAATGGCCAATATTTTTTAAAAATAGGTGTGTTTACTGAATTTTGGATAGTACTCTATCCAAACGTATATAATTTGTGCAAACAATTCATTTGCAGCTCTCAATATCGGATTTAATTTCTTTCAGATCCTTTCTCTATATGATAGTCTACATGTCATTGATGTCCATAAAGTTGTTGAATATGTTAAGGGGCTACAACAAGAAGATGGCTCATTTGCTGGTGATAAGTGGGGTAGGTTCTATTGCCATATGGGATGTTTAAATAAAGTAACATTGATCAAAAGTATTTTACATTTTTTTAAAGTCGCTCATTAGTGGAATCTAGACAAATTATATAGTGAAAATGGACTTTAATGTGATCCAAGCAAAATGATGCCTTACATTATCCTAGTAACAGGTGTTTGCAAATGATTAGAGCATGTAGGTGTATAATTTTTCAATCATCAATAAGAGAATCTTGTCAGCTTAAACTGTATTTAAACTGGTTTCTTGGAGGCAACTGAGATAGTTGGAACTTGTAATAAGAACATAAGAATTAGGAGCAGGAGTAGGTCATTCGGCCCCTCGAGCCTGCCCCGCCATTCGATAAGATCATGGCTGAACTTCTGACCTAACTCTAATTACCTGCCCTATCCCCATAACCCCTAATCCCTCTATTTTTAAAAAAATCTATCAGTCTCAGCCTTGAAGATGTTCAAGGACTGAGCATCTACAGCCTTCTGGGGTAGTGAATTCCATAAATTTACTACCCTCTGAGTGACTAAATATTTCCTCAACTCTGCTCTAAAAGGCTGACCCTTAATTTTATGACTGTGACCCCTGGTTATAGATTCTCCTACCAGGGGAAACAGTCCCTTAGTGTCTACTTTATCCAGCCCTTTAAGAATCTTATATGTTTCAATAAGATCTCCCCTAATTCTTCTGTACTCTAGAGAATACAGCCCTAGTTTATTCAGCCTCCCAGGAACTAACCTAGTGAATCTATGCTGCACCCCCTCTAAGGCAAGTATGTCCTTTTTTAAATAAGTAATGCTGATTTTTGACCCCTTCCTTATAATCACATTTTGTTACTTTGACCATTCTGAGAAAAATATTAGAGAAGACTTTTAGTGGAACTTTGAAACATTTGTAACCAATATTCTTTAAATTATTTGTTTAGCTTGTACCTGTAGCTCATGTAGCTCATTTGTTTACAAAAAGAATGGAACCGTTTAGTTTACTTTTTCATTTTTTACAACCTAAGTTGTTACTTTTTATTATGTATCAGTTGCCAAAGGAATTTTTTTTAAAAAATTTAAAATTGCAGTCAGAAAATTGTATGGCAATGAAGATAATTTCTTCTGAAACTACAGGATTTGATGAAAAAACAAAATGTTTAAAATCTTCCAGATTTATTCTAGTGTGCAAGTTGCTGATATAGTACTTAAATAAAATGCAGTACTGAACCATTGGAAGTTGATAGCTTGTTTCTGAGAAAGTACTTTATTGTTCCAGGTGAAATTGACACTAGATTCTCCTTTTGTGCTGTAGCAACACTGGCACTTCTGGTAAGAACTTTATTTCTTGTGGTGCTTTGAAGTTATTTGATTTATAGGATAAATCTATAATTGTACAAATAACCAAATAAACTCTATATGAAAATTAATAAAGTGTTTTGTAAAGCCAGTGTATGCTATCTTGCAGGGAAAACTTGATACCATTAACATAGATTCAGCGGTTCAATTTGTTTTGTCCTGTATGAACTTTGACGGTGGATTTGGTTGTAGACCCGGCTCTGAATCTCACGCAGGACAGGTAAGCGATGCCTGGTGTTTGTTTACAATGAAAATCATTATTTTGAAATTTTGAAATGGCTATGAAGTTCTAATACATTTCAATTTGGATACTTTTTTTGGAGGCACGTTTTGTGTATGATTTAGAACAACATTGTTTTGTAAAATCTGTTATACACAGCTGAATTAAGAAGTTTTTTTAAAATATATTTTTTGTTAAGCTATAAATATTATAAATAGTTATAATTAAAATAATTAATTTTCATCTCATCCTCTTCACCCAATGGGTTGAGAGAATGCAGAATGCAGTCTTCAGAAGACCATAAATGCAGATTCAATTGAGTTCTTAGTTGAGTTCTTTAAAAGGGAAATTAAAAAGGAAGCAGGTGGGTACAAGTTAGATCCTGCTTGCTCATGAGTGTTGGCTGTTTGACTGTCCTACTAGATACTAAGTTCAGAACTCTACCTGACATCATATGATGAATCGGAAGATTAGACTGTAGACCATTTATTTGTGTCACATGGTGTATATCATCTTTCAAACAGTTTTGTAATAAGGTATAATAAACTCACAATTTTTATTTTCCTTCTTCCTCCAGATCTATTGTTGCACAGGATTTCTAGCTATAACTGGCCAGTTGCACCATATTAATGCTGACTTACTTGGTTGGTGGTTGTGTGAACGGCAGTTGCCATCCGGAGGCCTTAATGGACGACCAGAGAAGGTGTCTAGCAATCATTTTAGTTGATCATATAGATTATTAAAACAAAAACAAATCTATTAGTTTGCAAATTCTTTAAAAGGTAATAAATCTAATAGCATTTGTATAAAATTCGCTGTACTCTGCAGTGGTTAACATTCTGTAGAAGATAGTTTTCACTTTTAATTAGATTTAGAGGAGAACTTGCTTTATATTGTGTTTTCTTAATTTCGTATGACATCCGAAAGTGGCCTTGATAACTTTGTATTGGAGGAGTTGTGGAGTGAAGCAATTTGTGGAGTTGAATGACAAACATTTGCCCTGTCCCCGTCATTAATACTTCAGTTTTAGTTAGGGACTTATGGTATTACGTTGTTGCTTAGTCTCTAATGTGAAATGATTTACTCTTTCCCCATAGTTGCCTGATGTTTGTTATTCGTGGTGGGTGCTAGCATCTCTGAAAATATTAGGACGGATACATTGGATTGACAAAGATAAACTGAGATGTTTTATCTTGGCTTGCCAGGATGACGAGACAGGTGGTTTTGCAGACCGACCTGGAGATGTAGTAAGTTCCATGCATTTGAGCACAATATGAAGTTAAATCCTACTTTTCGTCTTGTAACTGTCTGCCTAGCACCTGGGGATGTCCTCCCGACGTGAAAGGCACTATACAAATGTAATTTTGTTGTTGTACAATTACTTAAGTAGTTGAACCTTATTTGTAATATTAAAGTTTCACTGTGTCTGGAGCTAGCAAGTTGAGGAAAGACGTGAAATGAAAAACCCATAGAAAATAAAGAGGTGACTCAACATTTACAGAGGTAAAAAAAATGAAGGAAAGTTAAAGGACAAATAGAGAATAAAAGGAAGAAACAAGGCCCAATAAGTTAAATATTTTTTCTTTGGAGTGGGGCAGGAGAGGAATGCTGAATGGCATTCTTCTGTGCTGTAAATTTCTGTGGTTTTATGGGGACAAAACTAGCTGAGATGTTTTCTGTTACAAATGTATACAGTTTGTTTTAGGATAAAAATCACAGAAAATGTGTTCCTTTTTTTCTCTGGGACCTTTTCTTTCCAGTTGGTTAGAGGAAGTTCGAATTGTTTATGGCTAGATGTCTTATTAAAACATTTTCATTATCTTCTCTGCCTGTGAGCCATAAACAGCAGTTTTATCACATTACTAATATAGCTGCAGTAAAAGTAACCAATCGTGAAATGTAAATTGCTGCAGTGTTTAAACTTTTAGGGTTTGTTGAAAGATGTGACTCATTTGAAATACATTTTGATATTATGTCTCAACACGGACTATTAGGATAGTTCACAAAAGTAACAAGAGTATCCCATTTCAATACAAAGTCCTACTGAGTCAGTTTGACTTGCTACTCTTCATATTTGATATGTAGATAAAGTTGCATGTTTTATGTGCAGATAAATATGCAAATTTAATACAATAGATATTCGACCCATCCTCATACACCGCCTCTCCTTAATCTTCGTGGACCTGCCCTTGCCTAGCTCAATTCCTATTTCTCTCACCGTCTCCACTTTGTTATCTCGAACGATTTCTCCTCCAGCCCCCGCACTGTCAGTATGGTGTCCCCCAGGGCTCTGTCCTTGACCCTCCTTTTTAATATCTACATGCTCCCCCTTGGTGACATCATCCGCAGATATGGGATCAACTTCCATATGTATGCGGATGACACCCAACTCTTATCTTTCTGCCTCCACCCTCAACTCCAGAACCACTACTGTCCTGACAGACTGCCTGTCGGACATCAAGTCCTGGATGATGGCAAACTTCCTACAATTGAATGTGAACAAGACTGAGGCCCTCCTGATTGGCTCGTGCCAGCGCCTCTGCATCTCAGGCTCTGGCAGCATCAACCTCCACGTTTGCACACTTCAACTCACTAAGCCAGTCAGGAACCCAGGGGTCTTGTTTGACCCTCAACTGTCTTTTCTTCCCTACATTCAAAATCCTGGTCCTCACCTACAAAGCCCTCAATGGTCTCGCCCCACCCTATCTCTGTGATCTCCTAACCCCTTACCAACCCGCCCACTCCCTCCGCTCAGCTGGCTCCGGCCTGCTCTACGTTCCCCCAACCCACCCGTCCCACCTCAAAACCCTCTTCTTCGACTATGCCATGGTCACCCCCCCCTTCCCCTCCCCTCCCTTCTCTTCCCTTACCCCAACTCGGGTCTCAAATGCTGTACACTGTCCGGCGCCTTCGGAGGACCTCCCAACATGAAAGGCGCTATACAAATGTAATGTTTTTGGATATTGAGGCTAGAATTATAACACACTATTTATTGATATCTTAATGGAGGTTTGGTTATATTTGTTTGAGTCGGGTAATAGTGATGTATTCATAACAAGTAGATTTATAACAGTAGTAGTTTACACTTTCAAAAATGTCTTGATTCCTAAATATCATTGTTTCTTTTGTAACCAGGTGGATCCCTTCCATACCTTGTTTGGAGTTGCAGGCTTGTCACTATTGGGAGATGAGCAGATTAAGCCAGTGAACCCCGTGTTTTGCATGGCAGACGATGTCCTGCGAAGAATTGGTTTGCAGCCTGAATTATTGACCTAAAATTTGAGTTTGAGTCGTAGTGCCATTTAAATTCTATTGCCTGGACAACACACATTAGCAAAATTTATTCCACTATCTGATCTGGATTTTGCAATAATTTGTGAATATAATTTGATATCCATTTATTGTATTTTTTTTCTGTGTTTAATTCGAAAAACACATTTTGCATTGTTTTAGTTATGACAAACAGTGCATTTATAGGACTTATATTGTGAGTTGCTTGCAATATTATATCAACATTATATTTTTGCTCTTCCAGAATTGCTTTGTGTGGTATATTTTCAGTATTTTTAATTGATAAAAGTGAAACCTGAACACTGTTTACATGAAATGGTCAAGGTTAAACTGTTGTCAAATGTAAATGTCAGGTTCAGCTATTTACATATACCTGGTTGTGTTTCAGGTATGTGTAAATAGCTGTTGAATATCATTGGGCTCCTAAATTAGAAAGAAAGTCAAAGATTGATTTCAGGATTGTGGAATTAAAAGCAGCAGGGAATTTCCTAGTAAATCATGTTTTCATTTTATAATTATAACTAATTTTAAGACATTATTGTTTGCTACACTAGCAATTTGAATTTATATGTCAATCTGAAACTTGCAATGGTCCCTTGAGCATATGGGAGATGTGCAGGTTTTAACTTTAAAATTAATTCAGCAAGAAATAACCTAATGTGTTCTTTTAGTGTGAATTAATCCTCTGGTATGGTTAAATACTAGTTGTGAACTACTTTAGTTTCCACTACATCTTAAATTATTTTGTAATAAAAAAGTAAGCAGATCTATATATTTTCAGCACTGCATGTTTAAAATTAAATATAAATTATGTCAACTATGAATTAACTCACAATTCCAAGGGATTAAATCTAGAATGCAGTGACCAACAGTAATTAAGAGCCTGATAAATGCAATTATCAACAAAGCAACAGATATGAATTTTCAAGTTTTCAGTCGCTGGGGAGATTTCGTGAACCAATGGATGAAACAACCTGAAGGAAGTGAAAGTACTGTAGTTCGCAACTGGAAGCAGACTGAGAAAAGGGGTAGTTTGCTAAAGAAGCAGTAAAATAAGTATGAAATCACCGAAAGACTGAACAAACTAATACGGTTGTACAGGTTAAAATCCAGATTTGGGGTTGTCAGGCAATGAATGAAAACAGACAATAACGGGGCAAAAAATATTTTTTAAAAATATTAAAAATTCTAAGATGCATGCAAGCAGCAATTAGAAGGTTGTGGTAAGAATAACATCAGTTCATTGAGCTCCCAGTGTAACTGATTCACACTCGAACTGATTTTGGACTTTGGGCGAATCCGAGTTTTGAGGCCAATCATAGTCCTTTGTTGAGAAGTTTTTGCTCAAACAAATGATTCTGAATTCTCCAATAAAACTTCAGTTTTCTTTTATGTTCAAGTTTTTCCAAAATGTATATTTTTCAAATAAAGCTTTACTTGAAGAATGTATGGGATTGCATAGAACTTGGTAATTATTCAGTTGAAAAAAAGGAATCCAGTTAATATTTCAGTTGTTGTCAGAGGTGAAGTAGATTGCTATGGTTGTAGAGTAGTACCCATTCATATTAGCATTTTGCTTTAAATTTATCTAATCCCTCTTACCACATTGTCTAATTTTTAATTCAAAATATTTATTTTTAAACATCGGTCATTGATAAGAGCATGATTAGTAACAGACATGTTACATCTGAATGTCCAAATAAAATTGATGTGGCTATTCCTGTATTGTACTGAGTATTACATGAGGTCCATTTGAACCAAAACATTCTTTTTATGTTCATGTTATTCCTTTCCTCCTCTTACCCCCTCCCCCATAGAGTTATGGAGCTGGGAAATTCCACATTGGAACTAATGCCTTTGGCTACTTCAGAACCTGTTCTACTATATTTAAAGTGAGACAAATAATATGAATAAGCAATAGTTGCCCTGCATTGAAGTGAAAGAAGAGTGAGCCCTTGGATAAGTAGTTATGTACCTAAAAGGACAGGCCCACATTATTCTCATATCATTCACTAATGATTCACTTATATATAATTCACTTTGGCAATTCCAGCGTGCCATTTGACAGGACATGTTCTGAAATACTTCGCAAATGCCTTCCTCTTGAAAGTGGATCCACAGCTTTTTTGATGATACCTTTCATTACCTATATTTCAGGCTTTACTTATGATCAATCCTATTATTTTATTCATATGACTGGCACCCACCCTCGAATGAGTAAAGCCACTAGCTGGTGAAGCATCAAGCTATACCAATGAAAAAGTTGTGGGTTAAAATACAAGTCAACAACAACAACAACTTGCATTTATATAGCGCCCTTCACATGCAGTGGCGTCTCAGAGCTAGACAGTGGCGGAGGCCAAGCCAGGCGGGAGAGGGAAGTGACCGTAAGCAAGATCAAAATAAGTAGTCTTTAGGTGGGATTTGAAGGTGGGGAGGGAGGTGCCAAGGCAGAGGGATTGAGGAAGCGAGTTCCACAGTTTCAGGGCGTAGAGGGTGAAGATGGTGGAGCGGAGGAGACGAGGGACAAACGGGAGGCCAGAGACAGCCGACCGGAGGCAGCAGGTGTTCGAGTAAGGAGTAAGCAGATTGGATAGGTAGGGAGGTGCCAGGTCATTAAAGTATTTGAGAACAAGTGAGGAAATCAAACCATTTGGTAATTGGGATCCAATGGAGCCTCGAAGGACTGGTGTGATGGGGGATGGAGATTTGTTTGGGTGAATATCTGGGTGGCAGAGGTTTGGATTAATTGAATTTTGTGTATGGTGGAGCTGGGAAGACCAGCAAGGAAGGCATTGGAATAGTCCAGCCGAGAACTGACGAAGGTGTGGACAAGGGTTTCGGCTGCGTTGGTTGTGAGATACGGACGGAGGTCGGCAACGCTGAACTAAAACAATTTCATCAACAGCAGTAGCATGCAAGCTACAACTTGACATCAACCTGAGTTAAGATGGGGAAATTCAATTGATCTCTTTACTCCTGGTTGCAGCCGCCATGTCATTGATCATCTGGTAGTAATAATAATAACGAACCTTGCATCGGATCTAGCGCCTTGTCGCGTCTTTGAGACGTCTCAAAGCGCTTATACGGTAACGTGAATCCGCTGTCTATCAACATTGAAGGTGGGGGGAAGGAGGAAGAAGAATGAATTTGGGGAACTGAACCAACGACCAGAGCTGGTGGGTGGGTGGTGGGTGGAGAGGACCACAATGGTACCTACTTCCATATAAGGCAGGGTGCGAGAGCTGCGCACGCGCGGTTGGCCCCAGCCCAGCCCAGCCCGACGCCATTTTGACAGCGTGTTTGCCGCTCGGTCGGGGCGTCGTGTGGTGTCCGTCCGCCCTGAGCCCGAAAGCCCGACCCGCCGCCGCCGCCCCTCATTCATGTTCAAGAAGCCCGTCAGCAGCGAGGATGCTGCGGAAAGCTCCTCGTCGGAGCGCGTCCGGCCGCCCCGCTACGCCTTCGGGCTGCTGGAAACCCCCGGGACCGCGGGCGGCCGCCCCCCCCCGGGCCGCAGCGGCAACAGCCGCAGCAGCTCGAGCTCCTCGTGCGAGCGCACGGCCTCGGGGGGCGGCTCGGCCTCGGGGGCCAAAGTGCCGGCGGACACCTTCTCCAGCGGCTTCACCCCCACCGCAAAAGACAACGGGTTAACGCGAGGTGAGCGATGGTCACCGGCGGAGGGGACAGGCCTGTCGATGGCGTCAGCCACACCTTCCCCGTCTCTCTCACCGCCTTCCGGGTCGAGAATATGAACCGGATTTAACTGTAAAGCTGATGTGCAATTTTTGCAAAACATTCCGGGTTCAAATCCCACACCGGGACCCCGAATAACATGGTCTGAATGGACACCGCGGTGCGGCGGAGGGGGTGTCGGCTTGCCGCTGTGCCGCATTGGTTGGAGGTGCCATTTCCTTCGGATGAGATGTTAAACCGAGGCCCCGTCTACCTGTTAACCCCCCCCACGGCACTATTCGAAAAGAGAAGGGAGTTTCTGCCAGGAATCCTTGGCCAACAATCTCCCCAAATATAATCGGTCTTTCAGTTCATGGCAGTCTGTGGGTCGTCGTCGTCGTTGTCCGCAGATCAGCTGCCACGTTCGCCCACCAAACACACAGTCGCTGCACTTTACGTTATGTCCTCTGGACGTATTTTAGGTTGTCCTCCTAATATGAAAGGTGGTATACCAAATCAAGTCATCGTTAAGAGTGTCGAGCAAAACTTCTCCAATAGAGGATCTATTGAGAGGGATCACGATTTGTCTGTTACACTAATTTACTAGCATTATACAGCACTTTGATGTTACTGTCGTTCCTCGTACTCACCACTGAAATGGCCGAAAGTGGTCAAATGGACACATGCACCTCATCAATTAACTGCTTGGGAAACTTTATGGTAGAAAGTTGCATAATAGTATTACTAATCCTTAATTTGAATATGGAATAACGCCGGGCGGCGTCTCAGAGCGCTTCACCTCCACAGTTAGGACAAAATAGTTTTAAGATTTTAAAACAGGAGACCTGGGATTGGAATTACAACCCCAGTGGCTAAAATGAGTGTTGGAGAGAATACAGTGATTATTTGTTCACACAATATTGAAATTATCTAAATCCCAACAAGGTGTTTGTAGGTCAGTATGTTTGAATACTGAAAATAGATGTAAAAGAGGATTCTAATCATACAAGCAAATCCCACTTTTAATGTATATTTCGGAAATGTATAGAAAATCCACTTCATACCAGATATTTTTAGAATTATTAACCCTTGTTTTTCTTTTGGCAGAATCATATTTTGGTGATAAGAGCTCAAATGCAGGGAATATAAGCATGTTCACTGCCCCTTCAGCACAAAGCAGTAGAGGACTTGATGCTCGAATAGGGAAAACACCTTTATCCTCCACCAGCAGTCGACCAGTAAGACCAGCCTGCAGACTTCGTACTCCACAAACTATTCATTCAGGTATATACGGTTTTATTTTTACAGTTTATTATAAAAAGAGTTCAAATATATTGTTTTAGTTTAAAAAAACTCATAAGTGGCTAGTAAATTTGTTGAGATTTTGTGTTGAACTACAGTAGTTATCAAAGTGTGAAATGTGCAATGAGTGATGGTTGATTGATTTAACGTTGACCAATGTTAATACAGTTCTAATGTGTGTATTGCAGTTACTTCATCTTCTGCAGTCTCAGCTCATGTCGTTGCATCAGTAATTGTAGCAGTAGTGGAGGGACGTGGCCTTGCCAGGGGTGAAATAGGAATGGCGAGTATTGACCTAAAGAGCCCTGAGCTAATATTGTCTCAATTTGCAGACAGTACCACTTATGCTAAGGTAATACATTTATTTTGAAAACAAGTTTTCTTTATTTGGTTATTTTATGTACCTAAATGAGAAATCCTTCTCAAAATAATCTATGTCTCATTCTGTTATGCCATTTTAAGAAACGTTTCAGCCAAAAACTTTAAATGAAACAAGCAAACATTGCACAAAGAACACATTTATTTTTGCAGAAGTACGTTGCTTAAAACCATAAAGGTGGGGAAGAAAATAGTTGTTTTGTGGAATTCCCCTATTTAAAATCAGCATAAGTTATATCTTGAACAGTGGTAACTGATGTCACAGACTTTGGTCTCAACAACAACAAGCAACAACAAATTACATCTGTGTAGCAGCTTCCACTTCGGGAGGACGTCCCAAGGCACTGGACAGTTAGGGATTTGGACCCAAGCTGGAGGTTAGGATCAGGAGGGGTGGAAGACAGGTCTCATTAATACTTGACTAAAATTAGCGATAGCAGTCTTGGGTACCACAGGTCTGATTCATTCCTATCAATCTTTAGGACAATATTTTGGAATACATCAACGATACTCATAACTATCTTTCATTTAAAGGAGATACTCCATAATTATGCCGTCTGTACACTGTGAATACAGGCATCAATTTTTTTAAATTGGGTTTGTCTTAAATGTAACACATTGAATATTTAAAATTGTTCAGTATTTTTATTTGGAAGATTTTATTTTCGCCTAACACAAAAGGAGATCATATCCCTCCTATAGGTAATAAAGGCTGGGTTCTTCACCAAACTGAATCCCCAAATGCCTGTCTACCTTGAATCCTAAAATGTCTGTTTGGTCAAAGGAACTGAACTGAGCATGGAAGCTGCTTAGGGTGACTTATAAATGCAGTAAGTGACGTTTCTGCTTGAAGACTCTTAAAGATCTGTAATTTAAAAAAAATCTTTGTTTTGAATATGTTTTCTTGCACAAAGACAATTTTTAGATTTGGGTTTGTTTTATTACAATTACAGGTTATTGTTTATTACAGGTTATTACCAAGCTCCAGATTTTAACACCATTAGAAATAATAATGCCAAATACTGCTTGTGATAAAGGAAGTGGAACCAAACTGTACAGCCTTGTCACTGAAAACTTCAAAGTAAGAAGGATGTAAAAGTATCAATGGTATTTTGATGTTTGTTAATGTCATAGTTTCACTTCTCTTTATGAAGAGATATGGATCCTTAATTCAGAAAGATAATTTTGCAACTGTGGACATCATAATGTTTTTCCTCAAGTGTCTTTTACTTTTATCCCCTTTTATATTGAATTCCTTCATTGGTTCTGAAGTAAGCAATGTTGGGTCTTATGGGGTATTATTGGTGTTTGCAACTGCTGTTTGTTTGTTGCTTCCAAAACTCAAAATTAATGGACCTCTCCTTTTAAATAAGATGATTGAGTGCTCTAGTCCCATATCCCTATGGGTTCAAGTGAGCTTAATCAAGTGAGAATTACTCAGTAATATCATTCCTGTTTTATATTGTCAAATTTGCTATCTAGATGGTTTGTAAAGATCTGAGTTTTTATTGTTGAATATTATTAATTGGAGATTGACATTCAAGTGATATAGAACATTCTCAAAAAAAAATGTATTCTAGTTAGAGAACTTGGTAATTACAATGTAATTGTTTAAAGTCAGAACTATTATCATGATTTGTTATGTTAGTGTGGAAACTGAATAATTTTCTGCGAAGTATATATTCTTGTAACAAAGCTATTGTATTGCAAAAAGGAAACTGGTGATTTTTTTTACAGAGTGTTACTTTCAGTACAGTTCAAAGAAGGTACTTCAATGAAACAAAAGGATTGGAATACATTGAGCAGCTTTGCACACCAGAGTTCAGCACAGTATTAATGGAGGTTCAGACTAAGTATGGAATTGAATGTAGGATTAAAATAAATAGTCTTGAAGATCAGCGTGTAACTGTTCTATGGTAGAAGTTTACAGACAGGTTTTGATTTTTCTACATCACCAGTATAAACTAATGATAATTCTGTAAGGGCATGAAAGGAATACCATAAAACAATAAACAGGATTTCTTACAGTGCAGAATGTAAAATGTGGGTTTGTACTCATGATCGTCCACAAGCTAATTCTCCAATTTTGGTATAGTGCCTTGATGAACTACCAACCAGCGGTAGATCCCTTCTTGAGAGTCTCCCCAGACTCTAATTTATACCACATTTACAATGAGCAATTGCTCTACAATGTACTTTCCTTCGGAGGCCACTAGTGACATCAAGGTTGATGGTTTCCACTCATTTCTATAAAAATAGTGCCATCTGTAGTATTCTTGTACTGCAATGTTAGAACATTTGCTGATAATTTACCGGTGAATAATACGAAGACAGTAAAAGTATTCACGAAGATCTGGAACAATTAAGCAAGGATTGGCAGGTTAATTTTAATGGAGGTAGATACAAAATGGTGTATTTTGCAACAAAAAATAATAAACGTGTACAAAACAAAGGTGTATATTACCACTCAGTGTGAAACATTTGTCAATACACTAATCAAGCATTTGGTGCATCTTGAGGCTATTTGAAAAATTTATTCTAACAATGTATCTTCTCGAATATTATTTATCCTCTTTTTAGAGGTCTAATTCCACACTCTTCTGAGTTTCTGAATTTACACATGCTTCTGTGGATACATTTTTATTTTTTTTAAATATTCCTTTTAACAGATACTACTGTTTGGCGGCGGCAGCAGCTTTGCTGAAATATGTCGAATTTATACAAAATACAGTTTATGCTCCAAAGTCTCTTAAAATCAATTTCAAGGGGAGTGAACAGACAGCAATGATAGATTCTGCTTCAGCTCAACATCTTGAACTAATTATTAACAACAGGGATCCCAGGTACTGAAAGCATATTAGTTAACAAAATGATGCACTGCAAATTTTGAAAGAGGAATCTTCCATGTGTTTTGTCCCAGGGTGGAAGATAGATAAAAAATAAATTGAGTTTGGCTACATTTCAGCCAGGCTGAGTTTTTCCACACAATATAATAACAATACTTGCATTTGATATAACACCTTATCACATCATTGAGATGTATCAAAGTGCTTCACACAATATACTTTAAAGTGGATTGACTGGTAATTTGTGGGAGTATAGTTAAGAACCACACAGAATTTCTGCTGATGTGCTTCTGATACTTTGAATTCTCTACATGGAAATGTTCTGCTAATACACGTTTGGATTCTTAATCATCATCTTTATGATGGCAATTAAAAATGTTTGCACCATCTGCTGTTGCTTCCTTAGTCAATTTGATGGAATCTGCCCTCAGGCTTCTATTTTCATCAGTATGAAAGATAATATTGTCTAACCTGTTACAGATAAGGCAGAATCGCATGAGTAAGATTAAAAAAAGCAGGTGTGGGCTGGCAGTAGTCATAAAAAAGGCAGTTCACAAGCAAGACACAGTGACTGAGTATTGAGACTCAGAACTAGTTTTGAGAGCAATTAATGCATGAATTTCACTTTAAAGGTAATGTCATATCAGATAGAGAAATAAACAGCAAGATTACAATTTATAAATAAATTATATCCTTGCTTTGATACAGCGCCTTATCACATCTTCGAGACATCTCAAAGCGCTTCACAGAATTTACTTTAAAGTAAATTGACTATATCTTGTGGGTGAAAGCAAAACATTTGCAAAGTTTGTAGTTATTTCAAGTTATTTCATGGAGACCTGTAGCTCAGTGGTTAGAGCACTTGCCTTGCAAGCAAGAAACCTGGATCAATTCCAACAGGGCGAAACCTTGGGCAAGTTTTGTTACTCCACACCCCTAATAATAATCCCTCCAAAAAACAAAACAATAATAAGTTGGTCATTTTCAATCCACGACTGTTTGTGGGACATTGCTGTGCGCAATTGGTTGCGGCATTTCGCCCACAAATATACAGTCTATTCACTTTACAGCATATTCTGTGAAGCGCTTTGAGACGTCTAGAAGATGTGAAAAGCACTATATCAAACACAAGGATTATTATTTATTATTATTATATAAGACTGAATTAGTGTGGTAATTTGAGCAATTAGAAATTGATTTGAGCTGTTTTACTCTTAACTGAACATGAATTTTGTGACTTTCATTAAATTGTCAGTTGACATCACTGTCGACTTCACCATTTTTTGCTGTTAAATCATAGACATTAAGTCCTGATCTTAAAAGTCAAGATGTGTTTTACAGAAATAATCACACATTATATGGAGTTCTTAATTACACAAAGACTGCTGGAGGGAGTCGTAGACTTCGTTCAAATATCTTGGAGCCCCTCGTTGATGTGGAGACAATTAATACAAGGTTGGACTGTGTCCAAGAATTGCTTCAGGATGAGGAACTTTTCTTTAGCCTTCAATCAGGTCAGCTTGACACCCAGTCTGTTTCAGTGTAGAAGTACCTCTTCCCAGAATTTTAAACGCATGTCTGGAAAGAAGTTGATTGGATCAGGCACAGTAGACCATCTAATAGATATTCAATGAGCACGTGCTGTAGTCAACAGTGCTATCCATTCAGCGTACTAGGAAAAGAACAGTCAAAATAATCACTTTGTTTTGTAAAGTTTGCAATCATTCTAGCCAATTGTATTAACAAAAGATGCTCTACAAGTTTTAGAACAAGTCTCCCTACCCCTTCATTTTTAGAATTTCATTTTTATTTTCTTCCCCTCTTCAGATTGCATTTTGCCCACAACATGCCCTGAAAGAAAGTGGTCAGCAAACTGTTCACAGGCCTCTGCCAATGACAGTGTTGAACTGGTTGCTAGGAGGTGTGAAAGGGGCCTAAGGTGACTCATGCTTCATTTGTATTTAGCTTCTGCTCAGTATATCTACCCTGAGAGCATGCCCAAAATGGTGAAATTAGTCATAATAAATACACAAGGGTACATCTATGCACTACATCACCATGCCACCCATTCTTGTTTTAAAGTGTGATAAGTGATAATAAGTAGGTCATTTTGTAAAACAGTAAGCAGGTTTCATAATATCTGGCCAAATTAATTACAAACAGATGCTGAAATAGATTTTGCTAGGTCTATACAGTATGATAAACCACAGTTCTGTTTTTATTGGCTAAAAGTCAGGTGAAAATCTGTTTAGAAGAAGAAAATATAGCTTTAAAATATAATTTTAAGTGAGTTAATTCTTGGAGCACATATGATGCCACATGTGCAGAGAAGGTTATCAACATATGAAGGAGTGGTTGTTCATGTACTTTGGACAGTTTTTCAATTGTAATTGTGTGCAGTTACTGCCAAGCTGGTTGTGCTCTATTTGAAGCTTCACTGGTTTTAATTATGCTTTTTGTTGAAATTTAAACCATCCAGAATGCTAATTATTTTACAAATTTACATGCAGATGAGCCACTTGATCTATGCAAATTAACATAGCATTCATTTAGTTTACAAGGTAATCGTGTTCTTTCTTTCCTGCAAAGCTCATTGCCAAACTGCATGAAATATATTTTGCAGATTTCAATTTCTTTGTAATATCTTAAAGGTATATATGTATTGAAGTCAACTACAGTTTACTTGTAGAAATGTAAAGAAAATGCAGGAATAAGTTATTTACTGTACTAATTGTCAACTAATCTCTCTAAACCATTTACATTTCAAATATTGTTCAAATAAAGTGTTTACAAATGAAGTGCTCAAATAAAAATGTTGAACCAATTAGGAGGTTTTGTATAGGTAATAAAATAACACTGCTGTGCAGTGCTTTTTAAGATATATTCTTGTATATGTAGGCTAAATTGGCATAGTTTACTACTTACATTGGTAGGATATTGGATCCACGTCATAAGGAAGACAAAGTTAATTGGCTTTAACTTTGGAAAAGTTGGCCACTCAGATAATTCCATGTTTCTGCCTAATGGAGAAAGCTGGGGGATCCTATTTAAAGGATAAGAAACAATCTTTCCATTCATGTATTTGATTACTTGCTACAATATCCTTTCTCCATTACTTTAGTTTGCTTTTATTATGAAAGATACTCTGTTAATAAAAAATGACAAGTCTTGTATGTTATACAGTATTGTCATTGTATGCCAGTAATGCACTGTTGCCAAACATTTTGTTATCAATATTTATTGTCAGCGCCTTGGGACATCTTCCCGACATGAAAGGCACTATACAAATGTAATTTTTGTTGATGTTGTTGTATTGTCATTACAAGCTTCATATTATTGTTTTTCTAGTAATTTCACGATTTTTGGATACAGAGCAGCTCCTGTCTGTTTTAGTGCAGATTCCGAAGCAAGACACCGTATGTTTCATGTAATTCTTGATCCAAACCATTTGAGAATTATTTTCCTGGATTTAGTCTTCATAAAAAATTTTGTGCAGAAATACAAATTATTGAACGTTCATCCCATTTTTCCCTGTGATTCGTAATCCAAGTGGAGCAAATCTTTCATTCCCCATTTCCTATGGAGTGATCCATTACAAAAGCACTTACATTTTCGAAAATGTTAATTTAGACATTAAAGTTCCTTTAATCAGATCTGAAGATTATCTGGGGTGATACCTATTTCAGATGCTTTTGTGATTTAGAAGTTTTAAAAGAGGCATCTTAGATTTTTCTAGCTGGATAACTTGATTGTTCTTTTGTTTGGAGGAATACATGATTTAAAGAGTGAGAAAGCTATTAGAAAAGTTGATCTTTTTAAGGGATAACTTTAATGTAAACTTGGAATAGTTATAAAAATGTAATTGTTAAATCAATAATATTTGTTATTTCTATTTTGCCTCATAACTTTTTTAGTATTTATATCTTACTTTACTTATTCATGTTAGTTCTAAAAAAAGTTAGTAAGTATTGATTGTAAATTCTTTTGTTTTTTGTATTGTTTATCCAACAGGTACAGGGGGCTGAATCTAAGATTACAAATTTAATTTACCTGAAACATACGCTGGAACTTGTAGAACCACTTCAGGTATTCTCTGCAGTACTGCATAAAAAATGGATCTTCCTTTCAGTATAGTATAGTTGCAACAAAATACAACAACAACAAAATGACGTTTGTATAGTGCCTTTCACATCGGGAGGACGTACCAAGGCGCTGGACAATCAGTGTTTCAGACCTGAGCTGGGAGTCGGGGTGGGTGGAGGGCAGGGGTGGAAAGAGGGTGACTGAAAGCACGGTCGAAGAGGAAGGTCTTGAGACAGGTCTTGAATGAGGCAACAGAAGGGGCGAGGCAGAGGGATTATGGGGTGGAGTTCCAAAGGGCCTGCAATCCCTCTGCCTCGCCCTTTCTGTTGCCTCCTTCAAGACCTGTCTCAAGACTTTGCTTTTCGACCGTGCCTTCAAGATAAACATGAATATAAATGGGTAGCTGTAATTGGAACACCAAGGTCTCCTGTAATTAAAATGAATCGGTTACTTATTCTGTAAAATCTGGCGAACAATTATGCTGTTACGCACTGTAAAACCTATTACAGAATCATTTATTGACCAGTGTAATATATCTTGCTGGCTTTCCTCCACATAAGAGATGCTACCCTGTGTGGTGAGCGCTATACAAGTGCAAGTTGTTGTATAAGTAAGTGTCTGATGTTTGTACCAATGCAACCAATACTTTAATTTTTATGTTTATTCCTTGGATTTGGGACACTTTTAACAAATCCTGCAACATCGGGCAAAGTGAATCTAAATTGATGAAAGCTCCCCTTTATGATTAATAATTTAGGTTGTGTTTACGCTGCATGTTTGCCATGCAGCGTAAACACAATCTGGTACTTTCCACAATTCCACAGCAATTCACCGTCAACTGTGCAATATAGGCACCCACATTATCAGACGCACATTATCATTACCTGCCCCCAACATCATCTGTAGGAGAATGGTTTTAGGAGCAAAATGATTAGAATCTGCACTGGATAAACACACAGGTTTCAGTTAATCCATGGAAGAATTAATAAATAATGAGAAGGATTTGTTTCTCAGTTAGTTTCTGCTCTAGTGTGGTCTGGTCTCTGGACTAAAAGGTCATCAACTGTTTAATTTATATTAACTGTTTAATATAATTTATTCACAGAACTAAGTGTACTAGGATCCAAGTAATATGGAAAATTCCTTAGTACATATTACTGCAATCTAGAATTTCCTAAATTACCAGTACAGTTCACAAATGCATTTGAAATAATTATTCCCATGTTTTCTTATGTTTTTAAAAAGCTCTGAGACACTACCCCACATGAAGGGCTCTACACAGTAAAACTCGCATTGGATAATCACCTAAATTGTACATGCACTCAGGTCCCATTCAGTTTCCTATCAAAACCATTTAGATTTCTTTGTACTAGTCATATTAATCATCTCCTAACTTGTAACACTGCTTCCCTATCCTTCATGACTCCCGCACTTATCGGCTACATTGAATCGCGGGAAACATAATCTTGACCAGTCATCGAATGCACAGAAAAATTTCATTTCCCGCAATTCAGTGCGATTCCAATGCTTACTGATAAGTGCGCGTGCAGCAACAAGTCAAGATGCATTGAAACGCAGGAAACGTATTCTTGACCTGTCACCACGTACGCACTTACCAACTGCAATGAATTACCCATGCACAGTGTAGATTATTGAATAAATCGGATTTTATCCAATTTATACAACTTATACTTCGCAGAAGTCATATTAAATATTATGGTCCTGACTGATACGATTTATGTGAGTTTTATTGTATAAATGGAAGATGTTGTTGTTGACTATTGTTTTCTTCCACAGTCAACTTTGAAAAACTGTAAGACACCACTACTACAAGCATATTGTAGTTCACTTGAAGATAACAGGTAGCAAAATTCATAATATAGCACTAAGAAAAGTTTTTGTACTGCTGCAATGGCAGTTTTTTTCATTTGGATTGCAGATCAATATGTTTGTGGCAAATCTAAGTTACTTGAGAAAATTTGGTTTACTTTGCACGCCATGCTTAACAAATATCTTATCCAAGTTCCATAAAGATAAAAACTATTGTATTCAAGTTAACAGGGAAATATTTAGGATAATTTTGTAAAATGTTTTTTTTAGTGTATGACGCAGAGATATACACAAGTATTTTTAAAGTTCAGGTTACAGTTTAAGCAGTTAATAAAAGTTTGCAAGTGGCACTAAATTTGAATGGGAAAAGTGTACTAGCACAATAATTCTATTGATGGAAAAGATAATTCATTTTTTAATCAATTATATCTTATTTTTGTACTCCAAAAATTGTAGGTTCAGCCTTATTCTACAGAAAATCAAAACCGTTATTAATGATGATACAAGATATATGAAAGGTTGCTTAAACATGAGAACCCAGAAATGCTATGCTGTCAGACCAAATATCAATGAATTTCTTGATATTGCACGACGCACATATACAGAAATTGTCGATGATGTAGCAGGTAATAATTGTATTATAGCATCTTTATCTAGTAGTTAAAGAAGTGTAAGTATAAGTTTGTATTGGGTAATATAGAATTAAATAATAGTTTGAAAGAAATATATAAATTAAAATGATTAATTTGTTTGAATATTTCACAATTTTTTTTTAATTTTCAAGTTGAAGTCAAGAAACTATTTATATGGATCTTATAATCTAATTTTATCATTCTGTTTTTCACCTATTTTTCGTTTTATATTTACAGATAATTTTTGTTTAGATATATAATTTTCTCGTTTGGTTTGCTCAAAGTCAAAACAAGCTTAACTAACACACTACATATAATTATTTTTATGGTAAGATATAAATAAGGAATTTATTTTCAGCCAGAAGAATAGTATTTCTCCTACTAATATTCTGCAGAGCTTGAAATATTTTGTAGATCTTTGAAATAATATCTCTTTTATGTTAACTGAACAGGAATGATAACACAGCTGGGAGAAAAATACAACCTGCCCCTGAAAACCAGTTTCAGTGCCACGCGAGGGTTTTTCATTCAGTTGAATTTAGACGGAGCTGTATTCCCTAATGATCAAACACCTTCAGAGTTCATGAAGGTATGTTACAGTATGTACAGTATCAGTAGTTATGTAGTGCAGTGTTATTGTGACAGTGGTCTGTGGTTAACAAACATATATAAAACAATGAAAATAAAAGTATATTGATGAAAAAAATGTAAATTTAAGTGAAAGATTCCTTTGTATGATAATCCTCTGTGCTATTTCCCAATACTGAAGCCTTTGAAGTTGCAGCTTTGAATGCAGTAATAAGGCACTCAATCTTTCTGTTGAGAAAGGTTGTTACGTGGATGAAAGCTTTCAGTACAACAACAGCTTGCATTTATATAGCATCCTTCACTTGGGGTAGCGTCTTGGAGAGCTTAACATTGGTGGAGTTCAATTTGTCTCCTTTATTCATTCAATATATTAGTATTCTAATGGTTCTTTGACTTTAATTGTTACGTTCCTTTAACTAAATGAATGAGTTGGTATCAAATACAGATTGCAAAAATTCAATGTAGTGCATCTAAACAAAGGAAGATGTAAGTTGAGCAGCATGGATGCAATTTGTACATTAATACCATGTTATAAAATATAGAATACATACATCTTATTGGGTAAACACCAACTGACGAACTTAATAGCACAATTCAGAAGCTTCAAGCAAACAAAGAAGTTGCTAAGTCTCTTGTTGACAGAATCGATTCAGGTTGCACCCTCCTATGATGTCTGTGACTTGAGCTTCCAAGTCTCACGCTTTTGAGAACCGTTGAAAACAGTATTATAATTTGTGAATTCCATTACAGATTACCATGGTGAAGAACTCATACAGCTTTACTACTGCAGATTTAATTAAAATGAATGAAAGGTGCCAGGAGTCTCTTCGGGAGATTTACCATATGACTTACCTGTAAGGAGATTAGGCACTTATAAGATAGCACAATTCTACTGTTCTTTGAGAGAAACAACATAGCTTTACCAGAAGTTTTTTGTAAACAAAATTATATGCTTGGCACCAAATTTATTTGGTGAATGGTTGTCATGGTGTCAGGCAACTAAAGCACGAATGTGATCAGGTTACAAATGAGGAACTCCAAATAGCTTTGAATTATTTTTTAATTAACGGCTTCAAATGCATTGCTGATTGTAGTTTTCTCATAAAAAATGTTTTATTCCTAAACACACAATTTAAAATAAACAACATTGAAAGGTGCACTGCTAAAGAGGAGAAAGAAAAGTGACACCTTATTTTTATTGCAGTAGTAGAACACCAACTGCAACATTGCATTGTGGGCATCACAAAAACATAAATAAAAGTTCACAATGGTTTTTTTGTATATATATATAGTATCACCAGTCATTTAAAAAGTAAAATGATTATCCTTAATTCATTCCTTTATTTTTTAAATAATGTTTCAAGTGAATTATCATTGCGAGATATAATCGGGGGGGAACTGAAAATTTATTTGAACTGTATAGCGTGTGTTATTAAGCTTCCTCACTGTTAGTCTATAATTTTTTTACTGTTTAATCTGGTGATACAATTTTGTTGTCTTTTTCCAGGGTGGTTTGCAAACTTCTGAGTGAGATTTATGAAAACATCCATTGTTTATACAAGCTGTCAGATGCAGTTTCTATGCTGGATATGTTGCTTTCCTTTGCACATGCCTGCACAATTTCTGACTGTGGCAAGTTTACGTTTCTATTAACAATACAATTATCAATGAATCTGTTGCTAACTGAAAAACAAATGAAATTAAATGTTATAATTTAGCAAAATATTATAATTTTAGCCACAATTTGACCATGATTTTTGAACAATCAAATATATATTTTACATCTGTTTCCATGTTTCTATATTTTAAAAAGATTATTTAACAATAATTTTGAATGCACCATTGAGTGTCATCAGATATTGCATTTACTCATACTAAGAGTACGACCTGGCCTGAAGACTTAGCAATAAATAATTATAAACATATATCCCATACAGAAAGTTGCTTTGGTATCTAGATATGAAAATTTATCAAGATTTTCATTTTGATTTTTAGTTCGTCCAGAATTTACTGACACTTTGGCTATTAAGCAGGGACGTCACCCTATTCTAGAAAAGATATCTATGGAAAATCCTATCCCGAACAATACCTACATCTCTGATGGGAATAACTTTATAATTGTTACTGGACCCAATATGAGTGGCAAATCAACATACCTTAAACAGATTGCACTGTTTCAGATTATAGCACAGATTGGTAAGTAGGAATTGTTGGTCTTTTTAGATTGAAATTTTGCTAAGGGTTTTTCTATTGCTTATGAACAATCATCTGAAATAGGTAAATACATTAAAAAATAAAAGGTTTGAAAATATTGCTCATATATGAACTTAAATATTACATTTGATCAGTTATTGATAAATTCTTTCTATTATTGCCTGACATTTACGATTGTGTCTAATTTGAAATAGCATCATGTTTCATGCTTTTTTTACTTTCACCATTTGTTTTTTCCTGTCACAGTTAATCATTTTGAAAAATGAACAATTCTTTTCCAGTGTGACTTTCAAACGATTTGCATATCTTAACTGCTTACTAGTGGAAATAAAATTTAAATTATTTCAGCTTATCTCTGAAGTTTTTTTTAAAAATCAGAATATTCCAAATACTGCTTCCCCACCACTCCTAAATGATTATAAGCATTGGAGAACGACTGACATTTGAGGTCCCATTAGCTGAGCATGCAAATGCTTTGCTGAAACACAAGCCTGTAAGCAGATTTCACTGAGCAAATTGTGTTTGGGATTAGGATGATCACTAGCAAATATTTAAGTTAAGTATGTAGATTATAGGAGAGGAATGTTGAGTGAAATTCCCAGACTGTTTTTAATTTGTATTGTATAAATTTACCCATATTCTCAATAGCATGTGACTCAGTTAAGCTATCCAGGAAAATCTGAATTTTGCTATATAAAAAACAATGTTATCTATTATTCAGTTTTGTAGTGAGCATCACCTTCAGCTTCATAATTTACACTGTTCATAATTTAATTCTGAAGCTGCTTTCAATAAACATTATTAGGAATGAAAAATGTTGCATACATTCCCAATAATTTGTATCCCATATCAGTTCGTATATCATTTGTAGGTTTTTTTGACAGGATCCTTTGTTCCAGCTGAATATGCTTCAATGCGAATAGCTGATCAGATCTTTACTAGGATAGGTGTGGATGATGATATCGAGACCAACTCATCAACGTTTATGAAAGAAATGAAAGAGGTACAGAACAATCAACATTAAAGCATTCTATTAATTGCATAGTTATTGCTATTGTTTGTTTAATGGCACATTGAAATCTATTGCAAAATTGTTGAGATCAGTGATTATTATGATACACAGATATGTATAGCTTATCCAATTACATTTAAACAATATTTTGCAAGTCTTTAAAATGATCTCTGATAGTTGGTTTTGCAATATATTTAATTACTATAGATAATTTTTCAAGATAAAGTTCTTTGCATTTTCTTTCTACCCCCAAGATACTTCACAATAGTGATCTAACCTTATAACTGATATTGCTGTAGCCAGACCATGTTGGCAGCAGCGGCACCACTGTTTGATATAGAATACTTAATCATTTGTGTTTGCTTATTCTTGAACTTCCAATCGTGTTCTTAACCAGTATTCTTTTAAAAACGTTAACATAGGATTAACTTATTTTGATGAGGTATATTCCAATTGTCTACTACTTTGTAAAGTGGGGGGGCATAAGAGCTTCTAGTCTAATTTGAAACTACTTGATTTTATACTCTACGTCTGCAATCATAATTTAGGTTACAATAACCCTTTGACATCTACCAGATCCATGCATTTCAGCAATTTAAAACCGGGATTATATTATCTCCCTGCAACGAAAACAAATTAAATTCTGTAGGCCTTTAGAGTTTTATTTTCTGGAATGAAACTTAAGCACTCTGAGACGCCATCCAGCATGAAGGGCGCTATATAAATCCAAGTTGTTGTAGTTGTTGTGATTCTTATAAATCCATTCTGATGTATCCATATCCTACATTATTTAAACCTGCCAAGATGGACGTCAAACAAGATGATAGAACACTACATTTTTGTGTTTATTTAGTCTTTGGTGCTTATTCATCTTTCCTCCAATTATCTGGTAATGGTTTCATTGTACTGTATAATACTTTGATAAGTCAATAGAAGATAATGGTTTTCTATGTTTTCCTATAGATAACATACATCATCCAGAATGTCACTGACAAATCTCTCATTATAATTGATGAATTGGGTAGAGGAACCAGTGCGGAGGAAGGGATTGGTATCTGTCATGCAGTTTGTGAATTTTTGTTAAGTTTTAAGGTAGAAACTTATCAAGTTTTATACATGAATAAAGTTTAGGATTTGTATGTGGGAAACCAATATATTGAAGGTTTTAAAAAATCTTACTTTTCCAGTCTTCATCAATATTCCTGCCTCATTCAATTTAAAAAAAATAGAATTGACCATTCATCTCATTGATATTTGTGGAACATTTGTCATGTCACAGATTTACCTACAATATTTAAATTTCATTGTGATTCTTATTGCTTTGATACATTTCCGTGTAATGTGCTATATCAAATTCAAGATTTTTTATTGTTGAACTGTTTATAATTGTGGCATTGTTTATTTATTGTTGTCTAATAAAGACAATTATTCAATTGTTTTTATTCAGTCATTTACACTGTTTGCCACTCATTTCCTGGAACTGTGCCACCTGGATGCTTTATATCCTAATGTAGAAAACAACCACTTTGAGGTTCAGCACAACAGAAATAATGCTGGAAATGTTGATAAGATCATTTACACATATGTTCTCTCTAAAGGATACACAGAGGAAAAGAACTATGGTAAAGTGTATTTACTAATCCTAAAATATTTATTAGATTCTGTTGTTAAAAAGAGAAACATTATTCTACATTTTTGCATATTCAATATGCAAGTGCTATATAAATGAAAGGCTCTGTAGTTAATTCAGCAATGTACCTCTTTGATCTTTGAGTCACTTACAACCCTGCTTTGACTACAAATATTGTAATTTACACTCCTTTTGCTTAAGATAATTATTTCATTTCCCTTTATTTGTGTGAGGCTTGAAAGCTGCTGAAGTTTCGTCTCTACCTCCATCAATTGTACATGATGCTAAGGAAATTATGTCCCACGTCACCAAACAAATATGGGTATGCACAGCCAATAATTAGTGATGTGTATTGTTTAATGGAAAGTACATAATGCAGGAAATCAGAAAATATAATTTATTTAATCTAATTATGAAGCCAATAAAAGATTGTATCCAACTACAGTGAACATTACAGAGTAATAGTTGTTGGAAAATATATTGGTTGCATGAGAAATGCAGAAATAGATGTATGTGAGTAAGTTTTATGAACTTGACTTTTTTAAAGTGAAATATATGGTATTTAGAGTATTTAATGTTTTAATATTACACAAGACTGTTTTCTTCCAGACATTGTACATTTTAAAATTATTATTATTCCTTGTATTACTGCCTGAAGTAATGAATAAGTTAACAGGACCCATACATATATTTTGATACAATCATTGAATGGCATAAACTAAGTAATCGTGCACTTTAGATGGTTAATCAAAAAAAGTTATAAATTCTAATGATTACTCTGTGCTTTATAGCAAATTACGGAGCCCTTTTTCATATCCAAACAAAAATAGTTTTATTGTTGGGATATGAAACTGTCTTAAGTACGATTTTAAATATTTGCATATTTCAGACTTTGTAAATCAAAAGGACCCTACTAATTATGTTAATTGAAGTACATTTTGAATTTATGTCATTGTTAATGTATTTATCTGTTGAATCACAGCACAAACAGAGAAGTACTCCAGAATCTCTACATCAAAGAGCAGTCTACCATCTAGCTACAAGACTTATACAGACAGCAAGAAACTCTTGTTTGGACCCAGAGCGCTTACGAATGTACTTAACAGGCCTTAAGAAACGGTATGAAGTAGATTGTCTCGCAGCTGAACAGTCGCCACAATGAATAATTAATTCTTAAATAATCTGTCACTTATAATACTGTAATATGGGTTTTGAAGTTTCCTTTTTTAAAAAAGCATTTTAGTTAAATAATCCAATAATTTATTAGAAATTTGACTTAATGTTTCCTTCTCCTTGAAATCTGTAGATAATTTGATTCCTGAATATTGACTAATTCAGTTTTTCAAAGTCTGAATGGCTCAGTGTTTTTAAATGGTTTGTAAATAAATAAATTATGCTGTTGTTGCAAATTTTGAGTTTATTGCAAGCTGTGAAGAGATGGAACTGGAGCTGAAATGAATGTTGCAGTATTAGATTGGTTCATAACTCTCTTCAAAGGTGGTTGTTCTCTGACCCCATTTGTTAAATTGGCCTGTTGCTAAAAGAGAGGAAGTCTTCTCATTAAGTTTCCAGGTTCAGGTAATTCTGAAGCATTGTTGGAACTGGCAGTAAGAATATTCCGGCTGGCAACTTGTTGTTGGTTAACAAATGACTTCTGATAGACACTCTGCAAAGGTGCAGAAGCTCACATGGTTCTCGGTATCGTGTTGCAGGGATACAATCCAGCCAGTTAGAAATGAGAGCTTTTTGTCTGAAACCAATGAGTGCCTATCAAATAAAAACAATCTGAACTACGTTACTGTCATTTAACTTATTGTTTTCTTTATAATGTTAGTAGGACTATGGCAACACCTAGTTCTGTGAGTCAGCCAGTTTGATACATTTTCAGTTAAGGCACTGTTTTAACACTGAATAAAATCACCATAATAAATCGAATCAAATATTCAGATAGATTTGTTGCTAAATTATTAATTCTGAAAGACACAATTTAAATGAATTTTTTTAAAAAATACCCTTTTTTCTCATTTTCACTTTTCGAATTTAGAACCATAAATATTACAGTATTCATTTGGAAACCATTTGGCCATGAAGCCTAAATTAGTGCTAATTCCTTCATTGGAATTGAATGCTCTGTTCCCAGTCATTTTTATTTATTTTAACTTGATATCTGAACAAAATAATTTTTCTCTGTCTAGACGTTAAATGCTTTTTACAATGCATAGTTATTAGAAAAGTGTTAAGAAATAAACAAAAGCCCAGTTTCATGGCACTCTATCAAAACGCAATAGCAAATGTAAACTGATAATTACGTAATTTTCTTTATTGTTTTGATGGGTAATTTAGTTTTCCTCACACTCCCTTTGCTCAGGTTTTCTCGTGTTGTAGACAGTATTCTAACAAAGTTTTTTTTAAATGTTTAATATTGGCATGATATATCACTCCTCAGTACATCCCTGCACTGCCCTTTTCAGTTAAGTAGATGGGATGATCCAGCACACACACATCCTAATTAATAGTATTTATGACACTCTTTGGCTGGCCAACCAGGAGGTTAGCTAAAGAAAATGGGAAATTTATCCTTCAGGAAGAAACTGAAACTTCAACAAAAGATGAGATTTAATCTCAGAGTTTTTTAGTGAAAGCCTGCTACCTTAAAGTACCTGCTTACATGTCAGCCATCAAAGATAATGATAATTCATGTCCTTACAATCTGACCCAATGTGGTGAGAATGTTCTTACAAGACATTTTAACTTTGACATTTTTAAACCGGGAAAGAATAATGAAATATATCCACTTTATGTACGACTTGCAGGTCACCTACCTTGAGCTGTGCAATGTGTATGGAGCACAGCACTCTAATGCATAAACCTAAGCAGAGTTCTGCATCCTTTATTATATCTGTTGACTCAGAGTCATCACCCATTCTTACTCGTGTTGGGTAGAAGAGGATGATGAAAATTGTGGACGTAGGATTATGCTCCCTCTCTAGTATCCCGAACTGAAGTAATACCTTCAGTATATTTGACTGCCTGGTTTGAGCTACATAATGCAATGGGGTCACACCACTGAATGGACTTGGATTGTACACTGGTGTGAAGGTTCTGCAAATGCAAAAGAGAAATTCAGAAACTCATCTAAACCACTTGTAGTTAAAGGATAGTGTAGTTGTTAGGGTCAGTATTTATGCTTTTATATTAGGCATCCAAAGTAGATTCTAAAATCCACCAAGCTCCACTGGCTTCCCATCACCGAACAGATCGACTTCAAGATCCTCGTCCTCGTGTTCAAATCCATTCACTCCCTGGCACCTCCCTACCTCTCCGATGCTACCCTGCATGAAGGGTGCTATATAAGTGCAAGTTGCTATTGTAAAAAAAACTTTACAGTAACATTCTTGATTTTATCCAGGATTATTTTGTATGGCACAATTCTGACTTTTCCAGATTCTTCCTTCTGCTCTCTTCTATGAAAATCACAAAGGTAATCTGAAGATTTGAATTATTTTTTCCTTAGCTGTGTATTAAAAATGACTAATACTATAATATGGAAAATCTTTTTTGGTCATTAATTTGTGTCCACTCAATGAAACCACTTTCTTGGAGCGTCAGACAGTTTTCATCGGGAATTTGAGGTGGCAGAGCTAGAGATACTGCTTTTATTTCAAACTTACAGAATGATGCCTTTAAATAAAAGGTTTTAATCTTGCTCTGATGTCTTTAGAAGAATGAGGGGGTTAGCTAAAGATAAGAATCAATTGTGCAAATTAAACCACAGTATTTCTGCAAGCATTGCTCATGTGGTTGTGAGCAACCAGCCCCACTCCGTAGTGCCACAAACCTCTGGCTGTGCCCAAATAGCAACATCGGATTAGCAGAAAAACTAACATAAAACTAGCAGTCGCCTGATATTTGTTAATTTAAATGTATATTCTTATTGGAATCAATTCATTGAAAGCATATTTGTATACTTGAAAGAATAACCAACGACCCGTAATGGTACAGTATGCAAGAGAAAAAGGAACATAAGAGATATCAGTGAGGCATTGCAGATTATGTCATGTAACAAGGAAACGGTTTATAATTAGTCACATTTGTAGAGGTTCAACTACTACATATTACCCACCTCCAGATCAAAGCAAGAAGACTGTCTTTATCGCTTAAGTACAGAATGGTATTCTCCAGGAGTTTCTGTACGAAGACCGGGTGCGCTCGCCTTGCGAACACCCAGTACAGAATGGTGTTGATGCAGATCTCAGTGAACACTAAATAAAACCTCAGATCGTATGTGTGTTCGGATCTGACGAAAGCGATGTAGTCTGCGATGAGAGAATCGAAGCCCAACGGGTCAATGTGGCGGAGAGTTTGGGACAGAAAGCAATAAATCCTCGATTCGTAGTTGTGACACAGCAGCTGATCGAGAACTCCTGGGGCGCTCTTTGCAACTTTTTCCAGTAAGTGACTGAACACATTGCTTTGGACTCCGAGCGCTTCACAACACGTTTTCACCGTTTTGGACAGTGCCTCCATAAACGCAGACGTATATGATTTGACACAGGGCTTCATTCAGTGACCAGTGTCGCTGCAGTAAAGGCGCGAGTTGTGACATGGTCTTTTATTACACAGACTGCATTTTGACACAGTCACAGTTTACGCCGCGCGTATCGCAGCAAAATAAAATACATTGCAACTTCAAAACACAACACGGAGTCTCGTTTTATAGTGTAGATCCATATAACGTCAGACTCCACCTTTCCGTGGTTCGCAGTCGTTCGTTTATGAAGTGTATGTTTTTGGAAACATTTTTTTTTAACCCGATGGGGTCTTTTTTTGTTACAGGTAATAACACCAATACTACATCAAACTTGAAATTGAACCGAAACGATTACAAAGCACTCAGTCAATTACACTCGAGGTTTGGGAAAAGTGAAAACGGAATTGAGCAAAAGGCGAAATAAATTGGCATTGTTTATGTTATCCCAATACAGTAGTAATGACAATAATAATTCAAATATGCGATACAGTTGTTGGAGAGATTGGTCCATAGTCGAAAATCACTTTTTCTTGGCCACGATGATTCGTTTCGTTTGAAAAAAAATACATTAAACATATCTCTTCCCCCACCCCCCCAAAAAAATAGTAATTTCTGTAAAAGATGAGCTGTTTGTGGGGGTCTCTGCTCTGTCGTTTACCACTTGGCCACGACTTGTGCAGCTTCGTATTCATTGAGAGAGCGGCGGCGGTCACACGTTGACAAAAACTGATGGGACTTCTGTAACACCGACAAACTCACAAGAGTTTGGGGGGACAGTTCGCTGCAGGACTTGACGTATTTATTTTTCTGAGGTGGGGGTGAGGGGGTAAGGGGATGGGGGTGGGGGGGGGAGAGAAAAAGAAAAGGTGTATCCCAGCGGATGCGCGTTAGAATTCGTTAAGTGCGGACAGAAAGGATTTTGGTGAATTCACTTTGCAAAGGGTTTCCTTCAGTCGGGACCCCCCCCCCCAGTGTGTGTGTGTGTGTGTGTGGGGGGTCCTCAGCCCCCGACACCTCTTTCACTTCTGCTGCGTCAGTTTGGCGAGGAACTCGGCGATCCTGCGCTGCAGCTGTCGCTGCTGTTCGGTGGGGCCGGTGGTCCTGTCGGGCGGTCGGTTGTACTGTTGGACCATTTGGCGCAGGAGCCGCGCTCTCTCCGACTTGGAAATGACCACCTCGAGTTGGCCGGAGCCGCCCACGCGGAGCCCCGGCACGGGCCGGGCGAGCGGCGGGGGCCAGCGCTGGCCCGGCCCCTCGGACCCTCCGGCCGCGGCTCGGGGCCAGGGGTCAGGGGCCAGTCCGGACCAGCCCAGGAGCGCTGCGCTCTCTCGCCGCCCGGCGGGAGCGGTCTGGCTGAGGGGCGACGGACCCGAGGGCGCTGCTCGGAGTCCGGGACGTGCCGCCGGGAACGCCGTCGGCTGAGCGGAGGCGCGACCAGACCCGGCGGCGCGGGGCGGCGGCCATCGGGGCCCCGTCCCCCTCGGGCCGCCGCCGCCTCTGGACCCTCCCGGGTCGGGTCGGGGTCCGGCTGCCGAGGGCGGGGCGGGGGCCGGACGGGCGCCCAGGCCTCGGCGGTGTAGCCGCCGATCGTCCTGACCGACCGGAGGCGCCCCTTCAGGTCGTCGAACTTCCCGCTCGCGGCCTTCGCGCAGCGGTCGCGTTCGCGGTCGATGGTCTCCAACTGGAGGTCGCACCGCTTCCGCTCATTGGCGATCCTCCGGTGAGCCCTCAGCAGGTTCTCGACCGCCCGGTCCATGGGCGCACGACCCGGAGCAGAGCCCCCACGCGCACCGTCAACCCTGACACCCGGACTTCATCCGGAGTGTCCCTCCCGCGTGTCCGCGGCTCTCTTCAGTGGGTGTGACAGCACTCGCTTTTGCGAGAGACCCGAAGTCCAGCCCCAGGCGGGTCAGGGCCAAACCCCTCGGGCAAGTTTCCTTACTCCACCCAGAGCCGTCTCATGAGACGATAATCCCTCCCGGAAACCCCCCCCAAAACAATGACGAATTGGGTCACTTTCAATCCGCCACCGTCTGTGGGACACTGCTGTGCGCAATTGGCGGCCGCGTTCGCCCACCGGTACGCGGTCGGTTCACTTCACGGTGTGTTCTGCGAAGCGCTTTGGGACGTCCTCCCGGCGCGAAAAGCGCTATATCAAATCCAAGGATTATTATTATTATTATTATTATTATTATAATAAGTGGGAGTCCACGGGCTTCGAGCCCGCGCTCACTGCTGCTGGAGGGAGGCCACAAGACTGGTGGCACCAGAGGCTCCACTCCCGGGAACTAACTCTTTCTCAGGACCTTTGCGGCGAGGTTTTCAGAAGACGCCCCATTCTCAAAAGGTGTCCACGGTTTTCGTTCTCCCGACTGCGCATTTTTCTTTCTGAAACCCTTCCGTTTGGCACAGGCGCCTTATCGCGTCTTTGAGGCGTCTCGAAGCGCTCCACACGACGTACTGTAAAGTGAGTCGACTGTGTGCTTTGCGGGCGGACGAAAGGAACGCGGCGGCCAATTGCACACCAGCGGTGTCCCACAGAACAGTCGTGGATTCAAGTGACCAATTTTTTTTTAACAAGGGAATTATTACCCCCAGAAAAGCAATCTGTCAACTAACACCCGGGTTAATACTTCCTACTGGTAAACGGGCGTGTGGAGTAAGGAAACTTGCCCAACATTTCGCCCTGCCAGGAATTGAACCCAGGTCTCTCGCAAGGCGAGTGCTCTAACCCCTGAGCTACAGGACTCCACAATAAATAATAAACAATAAGATTATTTTTTTGCGGCAAATTATAATAGATTTTAACTTCCACTAGAGGGGAAGACAATCTGAATAAACATGTCAAAGGGAATTGGACAAACATTTGTAGAGGAAGAAGTAGGCGCGGTACTTCCAATTGACTTTTGAGTGTTAAGAGGAAGGTTCTGAGCCACAGCAGTATAAGTGACTTCAGTCCTTACCTGATTGTGAAGCCAGGTTGCTTCACAAATCTCGGAAATGATCCAATGATTCTCTGCAAATCTTGTGCAGTGGTTAAAAGCATTTCATCACATTAGATTAGAAAAGCTTTCACAATCGATTATCAGCTATTTAACAGAAGGGTAAACCCAGGTTGCCAACAAGGGCAAACCTTGGTGCATGAAAATAGTCAACCTGAAGAAAGTAAATCTTTGTAATTCTCCAGGTTTCAATGAAGTAAAATTCACCGTGTTTTCTAAAATATATAAAGAAAACAAAGATTTCCTTTGAAATCCATCACACCAGTGTATCAGAGACCACTATAATTCATTGGCTAATGCCTGGCATCTTTTGAAAGTACAGTACCTCTTCCTTCCTTTTTCCAGGCAGGGCCAAACCTTGGGCAAGTTTCCTTACTCCACACGCCTAATAATAATCCCTCCAAAAAACAAAACAATAATAAATTGGTCATTCTCAATCCATGACTGTTTGTGGGACATTGCTGTGCGCAATTGGCTACTGCATTCGCCCACAAATATACAGTCAATTCACTTTACAGTATATTCTGTGAAGTGCTTTGAGACGTCTAGAAGACGTGAAAAGTGCTATATCAAATGCAAGGATTATTATTATTATTACTTCTTCTTCCTTCAGGTTGCACCCTCTCCATAAATTATCCTTTATTAAATATTCAAGAATATTTGATTTTTTTTAAAAAATGAGGAAACCTTCCTTAATCAGAAATAACTATTATTCATTAGTGTACTTCATCTGACAAATTCCTTTTTTAAAAGATACTTAAAAGTATATTACCTTTCCTAGTCAACAGTTGCACTTAAATTGTATAATTGGTCTAGGTGATAATTGTGAGTAGAGTCATGCTAATCAGTGCTAAACTGCTGTATCTGTTTGACTTTTAATAGGATAAGAATTTAAAGCATCCAAGAACCAATTAAACTTGAAACGCTGCTTCTCCTGATGACACTGCCTTACTGTCCCTGCAGTAGTTTAATATGATGTGGAATTTAAAAAATATATAGAAGGAAAATGATGAATTAAAAAATTATTGTTAGGCCTAATGCAATTTTTGTCACTTGCAATCTTGTCGAAAGCAATTCTGCACTTTTGAACCTTTGTCACTGAAAGTTTCAAAGTCATAGCCAATTAGATGCTATTTTCAGATGGAGGCCCTGGAGCCTCTAATTAACAAACACATTGAGGTTATAATTACTTCCAACGAGTGGTATGTATAAACATGCTCATTTCAACAAGAAATGACAGACGAAATGGAAGCAAGACTACCATGTCTAGAGATGAGGCAAGGTAAGAGCCTGTGCTCCTGTGGTTAGATGGCCCTCACGCCTTAGTGATAGTTTTCCAGGAGGACTTTGTTTCAGGCACTATCATAGAAGAAGTCTAGCTTGTGGAGACAGCATGGGTCAATGCTGCTGGTGTCTTCACACTGTAATGCTTGCATTCTCAGGAAGGTGTTTTAGCTTGTGAAGTCAAGCGCAAAGGTAAGATCAATAGAACATAATGTTGTGGGCTCCTGCCCTCAGCTCGGGTCCCCAGCCGGCAGTGTCAAGCTCTTTGGCATATCCTCCTAAGTGAAAGCTGCTGTCTAAATGTAAATTTGTTTTATACTGTTGTAGACAGTACGTTTCCATGAGCTGCATGCATGTACCATATCATGCACGGAAAATTTCCATCTTACATTAATGCATTTTTCCATACCACCCTGAATTGAGCAGGTATCTTACTTTACACCAATAACGTATTACACCAGTATGTTAATTTCCACTCCCAATGAGGTGAATGATCAGTTAATCTGCAAGATTGTTAACCGAGTCCCCAGGAAAAACTCCCTTTTCTGTTTGAACGTTGTTATAGGATCTTTCGTGTTCACCTGAAATGGTAAATAGGATTTTAGTTTAATATGTTATTTGAAAGACAGCATCTGTGACAATGCAGTTATAAATCGTACTGTCTCAGTACTGCCCCAGAACACAAACCTAGACTATGAGATCAAGTGATTAAATTCACAATCTTTGATCTAGAAATGAGAGTGATACCACCTGAGGCAAACCAGGAGAAATAGGTTTGATATTGATGTGTCTCACAATTTACATGTGATTTTTTTTTTAAAAAAGTTAATGTATTAGCAAACTATACAAGGTAAAATAGTATATGAAGTAAGT